TTTCATGCGATTTTTCCGAAAGGGCATTTTATTTCTATTCAAGAGGCTACAGATCACAGAATCAGGCCGAGGCTATTCTCCACCGATAATGAAGTCTATTGATCCTATTCTCCACGGATGATAAGTCAATTAAGCACTGATTAGTGCCAATTTATTTTCGGATGGAATTTTCATAATTTATGGGGCGACGAAAGGCCATTTATTTGGATTTTAAAGGCTACGGGTCACGGATTCGGACCGATGCTATTCTTCAACGACAATTAAGTCCATTAAGCACTGATTTTGAAGGATTTATTCCGGGTCAATTTTTGGCAGATTCCAAAGGGGTACCATCACTGATTTCAGACGATTTTTCCGAAATGTCATTTTCTTTCGATTATGGAGGTTATAGATCAGGGAATTAGGCCGAGGCTATTCTCCACTTATAATGAAGTCTATTGATCCTATTCTCCACGGATGATAAGTCCATTAAGCACCAATATGGGCCAATTTATTATCGGAAGGCATTTTCGTAACTTATGGGACGATATAAGGCCATTTTCTTTGGATTTTAAAGGCTACGGGTCACGAATTCGGCCTGAGCCTATTCTCCAACGATGATTAAGTCCATTAAGCATTGATTTGGGCGGATTTATCCCGCAAAAATTTTTGGCAGATTCCAAAGGGGTACCATCACAGATATCGGGCGATTTTTCCAAAATATCATTTTCTTTCGATTCTGGAGGCTACATATCACGGAATCTGGCCGAGGTTATTCTCCACAAATAATGAAGTCTATTGATCTTATTCTCCACGAATGATAAGTCCATTAAACATCAATTTGAACCAATTTATTTTCGGATGGCATTTTCGTGATTTATGGGGTGGCGAGATGCATTTTCTTTGGATTTTGAAGGCTACGGGTCACGGATTCGGCCTATGGCTATTCTTCAACGATGATTAAGTCCATTAAGAACCGATTTGGGCAGATTTATTCCGGGTCAATTTTTGGCAGATTCCAAAAGGGTACCATCACAGGTTTCGAACGATTTTTCTGAAATGCCAATTTCTTTCGATTCTGGATGCTACAGATCACGGAACCAGATCAAGGCTATTCTCCACCGATAACGAAGTCTATTGCTCCTATTCTCCACGGATGATAAATCCATTAAACACGAATTTGGGCCAATTTATTTTCCGATGGTATTTTCATAATTTATGGTGCGGCGAGATGTCAATTTCTTTGGACTTTGAAGGCTACGGGTCACGGGTTCGGCCTGAGGCTATTTTTCAACGATGATTAAGTCCATTAAGCATCAATTTGGTTGGATTTATTCCGGGTCAATTTTTGGCAGATTCCAAAGGGGTACCATCATAGATTACAGGCGATTTTTCCGAAATGCTATTTTCTTTCGATTCTGGAGGCTACAAATCACGGAATCAGGTCAAAGCTATTCTCCACCGATAATGAAGTCTATTGATCCTATTCTCCACGGATGATAAGTCCATCAAACACCAATTTGGGCTAATTTATTTTCGGATGGTATTTTCGTAATTTATTGGGGGACGAAATGCCATTTTCTTTGGATTTTGAAGGCTATGGGTCACGGATTCTTCCCGAAGCTATTCTTCAACGATAATTAAGTCCATTAAGCACCGATTTTGGAGTGTTTATTCCGGGTAAATTTTTGGCAGATTCCAAAGGGGTGCCATCACAGGTTTCGAACGGTTTTTCCAAAATGCCAATTTCTTTCGATTCTTGAGGCTACAGATCACGGAATCAGGACATGGCTATTCTCCACCGATAATGAAGTCTATTGATCCTATTCTCCACGGATGATAAGTCCATTAAACATCAATTTGGGCCAATTTATTTTCGAATGGTATTTTCGTAATTTATGGGTGGCGAAAGTTCAATTTCTTTGGATTTTGAAGGCTACGGGTCACGGATTCGGTCGGAGGCTGTTCTTTAACGATTTTTAAGTACATTTAGCACCGATTTGGGCGGATTAATTACGGGTCAATTTTTGGCAGATTCCAAATGGGTACCATCACAGATTTCGGGCGATTTTTTCGAAATGCTATTTTATTTCGATTCTGGAGGCTACAGAGCACGGTATCAGGCCGAGGCTATTATCCACCGATAATGAAGTCAATTGATTCTATTCTCCACGGATGATAAGTCAATTAATCACTAATTTGGGCCAATAATTTTCGGATGACATGTTCGTAATTTATGGAGCGACGAAAGGCCATTTTCTTTTGATTTTGAAGGTTATGGGTCACGGATTCGGCCTGAGTTTATCTTCAACAATCATTAAGTCAATTAGGCACCGATTTGAACGGATTTATTTCGGGACAATTTTTGGCAGATTCCAAAGTGGTACCATTACAGATTTCAGGCGATTTTTCCGAAATGCCATTTTCTTTCATTTCTGGAGGCTATAGATCACGGAATCCGGCCGAGTCTATTCTCCACTGATAGTGAAGTCTATTGATCCTATTCTCCACGGATGATAAATCCATTAAACACCAATTTGGGCCAATTTATTTTCGGATGGTATTTTCGTAATTTATGGGGTGGCGAAAGGCCAATTTCTTTGGATTTTGAAGGATACGGGTCACGGATTCGGCCTAAGGCTATTCTTCAACGATGATTAAGTCCATTAAGCATCGATTTGAGTGGATTTATTCCGGGTCAATTTTTGGTAGATTCCAAAGGGGTACCATCACAGATTTTGGGCGATTTTTCCGAAATGCTATTTTCTTTCGATTCTGGAGGCTATAGATCACGGAATCAGGCCAAGGTTATTCTCCATCGATAATGAAGTCTATTGATCCTATTCTCCACGGATGATAAGTCCATTAAACACCAATTTGGGCCAATTTATTTTCGGATGGTATTTTCGTAATTTATTGGGCGTCGAAATGCCATTTTCTTTGGATTTTGAAGGCTACGGGTCACGGATTCGGCCTGAGGCTATTCTTCAACGATAATTAAGTCCATTAAGCACCGATTTGGGAGGGTTTATTCCGGGTCAATTTTTTGCAGATTCCAAAGGGGTGTCATCACAGGTTTCGAACGATTTTTCCGAAATGCCAATTTCTTTCGATTCTGGAGGCTACAGATCACGGAATCATGCCGAGGCTATTCTCCACCGATAATGAAGTCTATTGATCCTATTCTCCACGGATGATAAGTCCATTAAACACCAATTTGGGCCAATTTATTTTCGAATGGTATTTTCGTAATTTATGGGGCGGCGAAAGGCCAATTTCTTTGGATTTTGAAGACTATGGGTGACGGATTCGGCCTGAGGCTGTTCTTCAATGATTTTTCATTCCATTTAGCACCGATTTGAGCGGATTTATTCCGGGTCTATTTTTGGCAAATTCCAAAGGGGGTACCATCATAGATTTCGGGTGATTTTTTCGAAATGCTATTTTCTTTCGATTCTGGAGGCTACAGAGCACGGTATCAGTCCGAGGCTATTCTCCACCGATAATGAAGTCTATTGATTCTATTCTCTACGGATGATAAGTCCATTAAAGATCGATTTGGGCCTATTTATTTTCGGATGGTATTTTTGTAATTTATGTGGCGACGGAAGGCCATTTTCTTTGGATTTTGAAGGCTACGGGTCACGAATTCAGCCTTAGGCTATTCTTCAACGATGATTAAGTCCATTAAGCACCGATTTGGGCGGATTTATTCCAGATCAATTTTAGGTAGATTCCAAAGGGGTACCATCACATATTTCAGGCGATTTTTACGAAATGCCATTTTCTTATGATTCTGGAGGCTACAGATCACGAAATCAGGCCGAGGCTATTCTCCACCGATAATGAAGTCTATTGATCCTATTCTGCACTGATGATAAGTCCAATAAGCACCGAAATAGGTCAATTTATTTTCGGATGACATTTTCGTAATTTATGGGGGGCCGAAAGGCCATTTTCTTTGGATTTTGAAGGCTACGGGTCACAGATTCGGCCTGAGGCTATTCTAAAACGATGATTAAGTCCATTAAGCACCGATTTGGCAGATTTATTTCGGGTCAATTTTTGGTAGATTCCAAAGGGTACCATCACAGATTTCAGGCGATTTTTCCGAAATGACATTTTCTTTCTATTCTGGAGGCTACAGATAACGAAATCATGTCGAGGCTATTCTTCACCTATAATGAAGTCTATTGATCCTATTCTGCACTGATGATAAGTCCATTAAGAACCAATTTGGGCCAATTTATTTTCGGATGTCATTTTCGTAATTTATGGGGCGACGAAATGCCATTTTCTTTGGATTTTGAGGGCTACGGGTCACGAAAAGCATCAATATTATAATATCTATTTAAACCTTCTAATTCAATTAGAGCACCACTAGAAATAGTTAAAATAGAACCTAATCGATCATCAATACATCAAAATAAAAAAGATAAATGGAACACAATAAAAAAAAATTAAACATATTCAACTAATTGAAAATATTTAGAACGAAGAGAGATGGAAAGTAACTCAGTAATAAATAAAATATAAAAGCTACAACATTCGGTAAAAAATATAGAAAAGAAAATATGACTATAAAAGCTACAACATTGGTTAGTTACAACATTCATGGAATAATTCAATTATTAGAACACATAAAAATAATTGAAAATAATTATAATGATAATTGATTCTAAAATTTTCAAAAATTAGTTTGGTATCAAGTATTCAAAAGAGGATTCTAACTAAACAATAACACATGATGTTTTTCATTAGTCCAAATAATTTTTTGACAATAAGAAAAGTAGAAGGTCCAATTATGAAATTTAGAAAATGAATTATTTCAAGAATATTCTATCAACTTTGACGAAATGCACTTAATTGTAAACTTAAATCGTACATCGGTGCACATATAATAGAATTTAGTGATAACCCACGCACTATTCAAATTTAAATGGTATGTTTATCACATCTAATCTCGTAATATCAGAAGCATCAATTTTTACTTCTTCTCAAGCTCTAAATCCACCAGCCATCTCCCATACTGCAAGTGCAAAGCACTGGATCTTGAGTTTCTCCATGTTCAATTAATCGATCAGGAGGAAAAAGAAACAGAGTAACAAAATTTACCAGAATCGAAATCTCCACAAGAGCAACAGCGCCGCTTCCGCTTTGATCACTGGAAAAGCTTTTGCACTTTCCAGATCCAAACGGCTTTAGCCAAATTTTGGATGACCAAGGGCTGGAGGAACGAATTCGGAACATGGTGATCGAGTGAGATTTGACTGGAATATATACAGGGCCAAAGTGGAGAAATGATGGATGTGGAGAGATCCTCGTTGTGCAATTGCGTGGTGAATTTCTTGCTGGAGGAGAATTACGTGCTGACGGCGTTCGAATTGCTCCACGAGCTGCTCGACGACGGCAGGGATCACCACGCCATTCGGCTCAAGGAGTTCTTCTCCGATCCTTCCAACTTCCCTCCCGATCAGATCTCCCGCCTCAACTCTCTCCGAGGTTCTAATCTTCTTTTTCTCAACAGCAGTTGCCTCTACTATTTGATTGTATTTTAGAGCCCTCAACTGCTGTTTTTTCGAGTTTGCCATGGCGCGTAAAGTGTAGAAAGATCATTACTTTGGCATGATTCTATTATTGAACTAGCTCAGTGACTCTACATTACTCAGATTTAAGATTTTGGCATGCTACATTTGCAAGTTAGGGTTCTGCTACTAATCGAATTGCAGCGTGAACTTGAGGCATTCCTTTCTTTTGCTCTTCTGTTGTGAAATATCCAGTTGCAGACCCGCAGAGTTTGCTAGAGGAGAAAGAAGCAACGCAAGAAAAATTGGCCCTCAGTGAATACGAGCTGCGGTTGGCACAAGAGGACATTTCGAAATTGAAGTCTGAGTTACAGAAGAGAGTGGAGTTATCTCCAACCCAGTTGACTGGTAAGGAGCCCCCTTTTTATTGTATGAACTTCCTGTGTCTCAATTTGAACAACCATGAAGCTTGTGTTCATTTCCCCCTCTTTTTGGGATAAGTTTCAATCATAATCATTTGACTGTAGAAACTGCCTCGTTGACGGAGAGTGTTTGTCAGGCTGTGCATCCCTGCATTGTTCCTTGTTGATTAACTTTTTTGGGACTAGTTTTGCTTATTCTGATTGCTATTATATATATATATTCTCGATTTATCTGCAGAGTCGACGCCTGATGCCGCTGGGAGTCCAGGATCAGATCTTCTAAAAAGAAAAAAGGATGGTTCTTCCTTTGACTTGGGTCCTCTGAACAATAATGAGCGTAGAGATCTTAATTGTGCTGTACAGGAATATCTACGACTGGCTGGATACCGTCTTACTGCTATGACATTTTACGAAGAAGTACGTAAGGCATCACTGTGCATTGTGTTCTGTTTGGCTTTTGATATTTCCTACTTTTTCTCAAGCATTTTGGAGCAAACATAAATAGACCGAGAAAGCTGTTTAGAGGATTCTTTATACCTGCCTTTATAGGGGGTGTTTCCTGTTCTTTGTTTAATTTTTCCAACGCTTGTTGGGACGCTGTTGATCCTGTTCATAAAATACAGAAATCGTTATTACGAGGGTTTAAGGCATTTCTGAGCTTAGGGGAATCTGTGGTGGAAACCTAGCATCAGCATGAAAATGTACTAATGAACTTTGAGAATTTGTATGCCTGCTTACTACAGAACTGAATGTTTCCAGAAATATCTCATTTTTGTTTTTGCTGGTGGAGCTGCTAGTATATTCTGCATTTTGAGAACGAAGTCTAGACCAATATAAGAAGGTGTTTGTTTTCTGTCAAACATTGCATGCAGCTTTTAAAAGATTAAGACTAGCATGAGAGTTGTGTATATTCATTTCCTGTTCTAAGAAGGGTGCAGAAGAGAAGGTGGTCAAGCAGTTGTTCTCTTAAGTGGGCTTTTTTGCCTACAGTATCCTTCGGCATTTTATAGTTCAATGTTGGCACCAAATATGAACCTAGGGAAGGTTGGTTATTTTCCTGCTCTATCTACCGATATGTCGACCCTTAGGTGTTCACTTTCTTGTGCATGTTAATAATGTTATGCACATATTTGTCCCATTGAATTATTACAATAATTCATTGGGTTGATAATTCTCTCTCTCAGGTTACAGATCAGAATTTAGATGTTTGGCAGAACACTCCTGCTAGTGTGCCAGATGCCTTGCGGCATTACTACTACCAGTACCTTTCATCCACATCAGAGGCAGCTAAGGTACTTCTTGAAACATAATTTTTCTCCACATTGAATACATGAGTATCATTTTGTTGCTTTGCTTTATTGAACATGATCCCCGCCCTTACTTTGCTTGGCCTAATGTCAGTGAAGACTTTTTAACTGATGAAATGTTAGTTGGGTTGATGTACTACGTGGAAACACTCTGTATGAATTACAAATTGCCTTAGAAGTGACAAAAGTGAAGCTTTACGTGTTATCATGAAAATGATTTTTCTTGTCTTTTATGTCCCCTTCAATAGCATTAAAGTTGTGTCATGAAGTTTTTCCTGTTCAATTTTGAAGCTGTCAAGAGAGATAGATAAACCACAATTTGGGCTGCCTTTTAGGTGCTTATAATTGGGTTAAGAGTTGTTATATGCAGCAAGCCCTCTCCAGAAACCCACTTATAATTGGGTTAAGCGTTGGCATATGCAGTAAGACATCTCCACGAACCCAGAGGATGAATGTGCTTATGAGAAATTTGAAAAAGAAGGAAGAAGTGAGCATAATTCAGTGCAACAGTTGATTTGATTAATCTCGAACTGGTGAAAAGTTGGATTTTTTATTTGTTTGTTGTAATATAAGGGAGTTGAGAATTGATTACAGGCTTTTTTAAGTTAAGACTTATTAGAGGCCAGCTGGCGAGATCAGAATGATTGATATTGTTCTCATTGTTGATTTGGTTAGTTTCTGTTTGATTCATTTCGGCAGAAGTTCACCAATGACTGTCTTTAATGGTCAAGGTTGGTTTAGTCTTCTGTCAGTAATTGCCTTTTCAAATTGGTGGAAAGCATCATTTTCATTTCCTACTCATGCTGAGCCACATCTTACAGAACAAACTAGTTATTGAGCTGAAAATGGCTCGAAGTCATTCCACTTTCTTTTGCTGTTAAGCTGCGGATTTTCATTAACAGCAGAGATTCGTGTATACTGAATTTCTTGTATTCTGGAGCTAAATAGCAATATATTTGGACAGCAGGATTCTAAATCTTTATACTATGATTATACTTGGATGGGATATGTTGCAGTGAATGTTGTTAGAGTGCACACATAAACACGTTTGTACTTTGCATTGCAGGAAAAAGTTGCCATGATTCGAGAAAATGAATCTTTGCTGAAATCAAGTGAGATATTGAATGAAGAAAAGGGGAGGCTTCTTAAAAACAAGGAGTTGGCGGATAATCAAATAAGTGGTTTGACCAAGTCACTAGAAACCTTTCAAAAGGATGTCAAAGACAAGGAGAACCAGGTACAGATACGCTAATAGCTTTATTCTCTTTGCAATTGGATAACCAGTTATGTAAGACAGAGCTTTCTCCCAGATAAAACGGTTGAAGCAGTCACTGGAACACCAAAGAAAGGAACTCAATGACTGCAGGTCAGAAATCACTTCATTGAAGATGCATATCGAGGGATATCGTTCCGGTAGGAATGTGATGGCTAGTGATACTGACACTGCTGAAACCCAGTCAATTGAAAAGTACAAGGAAGAAATAAAGATTTTGCATCTAGAAATAGAGAAGTTGAAAGCTAAAAGTACCACTTCTCCCGAGTCTGTGGAGAGAACCGACTCTGGAAAAGAGTCTGTGCAACCTGAAGAGAAAGTTGTTGAAATTGATGAAGAGACACCTCTAATCTCTCATCCAACTGATGCTGAAAGTGTTAAGCAAGATGTTCCTCCGCTTGTTGGAGATATGACTAAGCCTGAGGGATTTCCACAAGATAGTACAGGAAGTTTTACCGACAAAGTTAACACTATTGACGAAAGTCCAAGAGTCTCAGAACAAAATGGCGACGTGCCATCACCAGCTCCTGGTATTTCTGTGAAATCAGACAACCTAGGTTGTGATGGGTCGTTAGAGAATACGGTAAATTCATATCCTTGGATTCAGAAAATTACTTTCGGTTCTGGCCATCCCTTGCCTTCTTTTTGTATATTTTCACTGTTCGCTGAAAACGACTGTGCTCAGCTCATTTTACTTGTGGAATTTTTTAGCTATGCTTCAGTATCACAAAGGATTTATTCTACCCATATTCGGTAGTTATGTTGTGTTTTAATTTTCCTCTGGAAGAAGAAAATTAACTTCTAATTTTCATTTTATAGTTATAGTTGGTCTATTATATAATTTATCTTACACATTTTTGTTTTCAGGGTTCAGAGACTATTCAAATCCTTGCTGATGCCTTACCCAAGATTGTTCCCTATGTTCTAATAAATCATCGAGAGGTGTGCTATGATTAATATGCTCGTTGATTGCTCCTGCTTCAGGAACAAATAATTATTTTTCATAGTTGTTTCTGGAACAAAAGGAAAAAAAAAATGTTTGGCTGATATTCTTGCTTCGATTTGCAACAGGAGCTCCTGCCTCTTATGATGTGTGCAATCGAACGTCATCCTGACGGCAGTACTAGGGATTCATTAACACATACATTGTTTAATTTGATTAAACGTCCGGATGAGCAGCAGAGACAGATCATAATGGATGTAAGTCCTTGGCCCCACATTCTTAGAAATGGAAGTTTTTTCCTCTGAAAATGTATCAATTAGTGACATTACAGGCACAAGAGGTGTAACTATTGTAATTGGCTGAGTATAATCTGAATTTAGCTAAGGCTTTTTTATGAAGAAAATATGAAAACCTAAACCCTGTAGGTCCTCCACGTGTTTTGATGTACTTGCTTTTATCATAATGTTTTTTTTTTGGATTTAAATCAACCAAAGATAATGGAACATTCTACTATATGAAATTCTTTACACTTGATGAGGACATATATAGAAAGTAGTAGCTGATTTATTTGTTGGCTTCTGTTTACATCAGGCTTGTATTAGTCTGGCTAAGAATGTTGGCCAGATGAGAACAGAAACAGAGTTACTTCCTCAGTGCTGGGAACAAGTGAGTTGTAGCTCTCCATATTTTTTTCCAGATTACCGTTTTTCATTGGCTCACTGGATTGTTTCCCTTTTTTTTTTTTTTTTATTTCACCAGTTCCCCGGTATTACATCATTATTTTGCAGATAAATCACATGTATGAGGAGCGCAGACTGCTTGTTGCTCAATCTTGTGGACAGATTGCAGAATTTGTGAGGCCTGAGATCCGGGATTCTTTAATTCTTTCTATTGTGCAGCAACTAATTGAGGATGCTGCAAGTGTTGTTCGAGATGCTGCTGCTCATAATTTGGCTTTGCTGCTTCCACTATTTCCAAACGCGGACAAATATTTCAAGGTCAGCCTCACTAAATATGCTTCGAGGCAATCAGGGAGAAGAACTCTCATTTGACAGAAATGTAAGCTCTAGACAGGTTGATGGCACATTGTCTAGGGAATGAGGCTTTTTTCCTCATGCCATGATATCACGACTTGGAAAAACTGTTAAGTAAAGAAAAAAGAATGAATGAAAATCAAGTTTTATAGAATGTGTTGGTTTCTGTGTTAATAGGTTGAAGAGTTGGTGTTCCAGCTGGTTTGTGATCCCTCTGGGGTGGTGGTCGAAACTACACTCAGGGAGCTGGTTCCTGCAGTAATAAAATGGGGAAACAATTTAGAACACGTTTTGAAAGTTTTGCTGTCTCATGCCTTAAGCTGTGCTCAGGTATATGCTTGTTTCACTAGAATTACAGTTCAATTACCGTGTGCTCTTTTTTCTCACATTATTTGGAAAACTACCTTCCCAGCGTTGCCCTCCTATTTCTGGTGTTGAAGGCTCACTGGAGTCGCATCTACGGGTCTTAGGAGAACGTGAACGCTGGAATCTTGATGTTCTATTGAGAATGCTAATTGAGTTACTTCCACTAATCCGTCAAAAGGCCACTGACACTTGTCCATTTCCTCCTGTTTTGGAGTCAAATGACAACACCTTTTCTGATGCCTTGCTAGACCTGTATGCAGGGTGAGATAGATATTTTCTTCTTTCCCAACTTACCGTATAGCTCTTTAACTGCCATTGTACAAATTTGAATCCATGACATTTCAGTTTCCAAGGTCCTTATTATGTTTCCTCTCTTTTTAGAATCTGTTTTTCCGTATTGCTCCTGAGAAATCTTTAATCACTTCAGTAGGGGACATGTGGAATGGCCTGCATTTGAATGGATGCATGTGGACTGCTTTTCTGACCTGATAAACCTGTCGTGCATGTTACATCGGAAGGAGGACAATCTGAGAAACAGAATTACAAAGGTAGGTTGTTCTTTTGGTATTCATTCTGTTTCCTCATATTTGTATTTTCCTTTTCATTCAACGATTATGCTATCTTGCAGTTTTGCTGACACAGGTTTGTTTGTAGTTCTTATTAGCCGTCGGACAAAGTTATGGGGATTCGTATCGTGTTCATATAATGCTGCCTGTATTCTTGGTAGCCGTCGGTGATGATGCTGACTTTACCTTTTTCCCTTCAGCTATACATTCGAGAATCAAAGGTATGAACCCCCTTCATTATTCTGTTTGAACAACTTACATGCGAGTAGGTTGCTCTAAATGCTAATAGTATTTTACTATTTTTGCAGGTTTGAGGCCTAAAAGCGTTGTTGCTACAAGACTGGCTACAACGTGTGTTCTACCACTTCTCTTGGCAGGCATTTTAGGTTCTCCCAGTAAACGTGATCAGCTAGAAGACTACTTGAGAAAGCTGTTAGTTGATAACCACCTGAATGAGAATCAATCAACTAGGCGCTACGCTGATGTCATTGATGCTGTTCGGTTTCTGTGGTTTGTATGCTAGACTTGATTTCAGTGGTGTTTAACTGCCTGACTTTAATTTTTTTTTTTCTTGACTAACGAACTCAATTGTTTCTCCATGATGCAGTTCTTTTGAACAGCACCACGGCATGATATTCAATATCTTGTGGGAAATGGTTGTTAGCTCAAGTGTGGATATGAAAATCAACGCTGCCAATCTGTTAAAAGTTATCGTAAGTATTTTTGTCTCTGAAATGCCATCGTTTCCAGCTTACACCATCTATCTGGAAGCCTCTTAATTCTATCCTTGTTTCATTCTTAGGTGCCATATGTCGATACAAAGGTTGCTTCAACCCACGTGGTACCTGCCCTTGTAACTCTAGGGTCCGACCCGAATCTGAAAGTGAAGTATGTCAGCATAGAATCATTTGGAGCTGTGGCACAACATTTCAAGAACGATGTGGTAGGGAATATGGTTTCCCTTCATCTGAATACTGGTTATTGTGGTAATTTCTGGCCTGCCCAAGTATTTATTTGACTCTATCATCATCTTTCAGATTGTTGATAAGATACGAGTTCAAATGGATGCCTTTCTGGATGACGGATCACATGAAGCAACAATAGCTGTTGTCCGAGCATTATCAGTAGCCGTGCCACATACAACTGAGCGTCTTAGAGATTATATCCTCAAATTTCAGAATCGCCATTACTTGCATCAATTTGTGTTCTGTACAGATTACCACTGTAGGTCACTTGTTTCCTTAACGTTCCTTACATCTCCTTTCGAAAATTTTCCATTTCTCTGCCGTCCCAACATCACCAGGTGACATTACTCGTCGCGGGGAGAGGGCTAATGCATTCTGTGAAGCAATTCGTGCCCTGGATGCCACAGGTTTGACTTCTTGTGTCGATCTGTCCTTATTTGGACCTGAAACACAGACATAAATAAGTGTGTGCCCAACTGCTCATTTGATACGTTCATTCTGATCTCCGCTCGCTGCAGATCTCTCGGTTAACAGTGTGCGTGAATACCTGCTGCCAGCGATACAAAACATGTTAAAGGATCCAGAAGCCCTAGACCCAGCTCACAAGGAAGCCCTTGAGATAATAATGAAGGAAAGATCAGGTGGGACCTTGGACACCATAAGCAAGGTGATGGGAGCTCATCTAGGGACTGGGATAGCATCATCGGTTACCAGTTTCTTCGGAGAGAGCGGGCTGTTGGGGAAGAAAGAAACCGCAGAATCATCTCCACAACAGTCGGCGCCTCCATCTCCCAATGCTGCTGCAACGCTTCCTCCCCAACCAGCAGAAGATACAAGATTCATGCGAATCATGAGGGGTAACTTCACCGACATGCTGAGGGGTAAAGGGAAGAACCCAGATGAAGCACCACATTAGGAGCTGACAGTGTCTTCTCTCAGTTCTCGCAGTAGCATAGAAAGTTTGAAAGCCTTTCCCATCGATCGTGCACAGGAGTTTCAAGGAACAGGATGGAGATTTGAGAACTTGGACGATGAAACGATTGTAATACGAGAGCACCTGGTGCATTTATCTGTGGAAAAGCCTGACATAACTCCTTGTTCCTTTTCCAGCATTCATTTATTGGACATCTTGGGCAGCCAGTTAGAAATTTCTTTAGTTCCTTGTGATGGTTAGTCAGTCTTCTTTTCTGAAGAGGGTTATGAAGACTGATTCCTTGGTCAGTTAATAAATTGATTGGTGTTTTTTGGTTCTTCTAACCTGCATTTTGGTATGTGTTAAAGTGGAAAACACTAGCTGGAAAAATCAATCCATTGGAAATGGACCAAAATTTTTGTCAAGAATGGGATTTGAACCCATGCCCTTTCGGACCAGTACCTGAAACTGGCGCCTTAGACCAACTCGGCCATCTTGACTTGATATTAATTATTTATGCTTTATGTTATATATAATGTTTACTATCACCTTCCTATCATGTTAATTTTGTGCACTATTAAAATCCAACCTATATGGATCCTAGAACTTATGTTAGAGGCCTTACCAACCAACTCGCAAGGCACACAAAAGACCAAATATTACTTGTCATTTCCATCAAGACACCAATTCTTTATTTTCGATCATATGATTAATGGCATTAGAAACTTGTTCACCCATCTTTTATTTTAGCCAAGGAGCTGCAAAAGCCTATTCATACAATAGATGTAGAATTTTACATCTCTGTGATGTCTGTCACTTTGCTATGCGAAAATGCCTCCATTTTCCTTCAAGATTCAGTGTTTGGAAAATTATGTTTTTATCTAAAAAATGTTAATATATGGAGAAATATTCTTAATGCTTGCCGGTCGTTAAAATTTCAATCTAGTTTATCACTAAAGTTATAGTCACATTTTGTTTTGCATATTGTTTATATGATCAATCAATTAACTACTATTGCTCTTGAAACCAAAACACCATATGAGGTTCTTTCAGTTTTGATGAGGTTGACGTGCAATTTCACACTTGATCGCCAATTCAATCGAAACCAAAACAATTCACAAAGTAACAAAAGCTACATACAATCAAGACATGAATAAAATGAAATCTAAAGAGGATGTAAAGTAGAAAGTAAAGGTCTTTGTCTAGGTGTTGCTTCCCCTAGAGCTTCCAGATTGACATGCAACTCAAACATTACTTTTATACAATACAAGGGGAGTTTTGCCGTGTTACACAGCGGCTTTTAATGGGATTTGGCTGTGTATTTGCAAAGCCTATATGCATTCTATTTCACCAATATTTCTTTCAAATGCATGCATGTTTGATCTTTCTTCTCGGTAGTAGTGGACTGCTGGAGAGGATCTGAATCGGGTCTATAACTTCTCCAGAAATCAAATAAGAGAGCGATCACTCCTCTAGAAACCAAATAAGAGCAAAATAATTGAAAGCCAAAATAACCACAAACTTCCTTGCGTGTCAGCTCTTCGAAGAAGAAGATTGGATGAAGAGAAAGCTGAATAGTGAAAGAGGGGAAATATTATTAAGAAATGCTACATTAATACACTTATATGTAGGGCTGCTATTTGGTCCGGGCTTTTTGGTTTTATCCGAAAGTGGACCGTATAACCCGTACTGAGATCGGACCGGGACCGGATAGTAAACAATCCAATCCAATCCTTGGGCCTAGATTTGAGGTAAAAAACCGTTTGGGATCGGACAAAAAATCGGATAAAAATGGATAAGAGAGCCCAACGCCCAAAATTTAACCTCCTAAATCTTTCAGGCCTTAGGCCACTCAAATCGCCACAAGCTCATTCTAAAATCAAGACCAAATTGAGATCGGACCGGATCAAGACGGATCGTATCCAATCCAATCTTTGGTCCTTATATTCTCGAAAAGACCGAACCGAGACCGGATCAATTCGGGCCAATTTAACCGGACCGGATCGTATAGCCACCCCTACTTATATGTACCCATACGTATTTTATCCGTTTAAGACTTCCATATCTATATTATTGTCAAGCCGTTTCATTTTTTCCGTTCATTTGTTGGCTCCCGTACTAAATATGTTTAATATCCGTATGTAATGAATTAAATTGTTAGCTTTACTATTGTCTATAACATTAGTTTAGAGATGAAGTAAAATAACCGTATGTATTCTATACGTTACTTGTCACCTGAAATCCAAGTTCACAGGAGAGGAGTGAACAAGCCCGGACATGAGTCCGCCTAGCAGTAGCAGCCTTTATTGCGACAGAGGGAGCTTCCAAGAAGGAAAGGTCAATCCCATCTCCTGTCCTGTAAGAAGGAAGGTCATCAGTCCCATAGCATATTAAGGTCAATCCCATCTGCAGCCTATGCGGATAAGATCACAGCTGATCTTGCAAAGAATCGTCGTCATTCAGTTGATAGTATATGCCCTTCTCCAGAAAAAACTTGGATGAATTAATTTAAATGTAAACCACAAGAGTAGAGAGCTGTTGAATTTCAAGAACAAAAGAAAATTGTAAATAGCCACACGTTTAGTAATAATTGGGCTGTCATTTCTAAATTAGAACCTAAGTGTTTTTTTAACCTTTTTCTTATGCAACAGTAACCATCTTATATTTGAATTAAATTGTTAGCTTTACTACTGTTTATAACATTAATTTAGAGATGAAGTAAAATAATCGTATGTATTCTATACGCAACTTGTCACCTGACATAAATCCAGAAGAAACTTGGATGAATTAATTTAAATGTAAACCACAAGAGTAGAGGGGAATGGATCAGGTGAGTAACTTTATGGTGAGTAACTATGAGTAACCCGCCCACATCAGCATGACATCAGCATCCTCTCTCTCCTGGAAAGCCTTTAATTTTCCCCTCCTTAATCTTTGACGGACGATTTCTCACTCGTTTTAAGTCGAAATTTAATTTTTTTTGCACAGTTAGATCAGATTAATTGTGCTCTTCAAAATGATATCCACTTTTATATATTTTTCGAACAAAAAAAAATTGAGCCATTTTTTACCAGTCTATACCATATGGTATTGACTGGTATTGAAATAAGAGCATACCTATGGGTTCAAAAGCGTACCATGGTGGTATGAACAAACCAAGACTGTAGGATGATTGAATACATGATAGTAGAAGTATATTAATTGTCATTTACGACTTTTAACATTGTATACCATAAAATACCATAAAATACCACCCCGTAGGGTGGTATTTTATGGTATTGTGTGGTATTTTTTGGTCTCGTAATTTGTTCACCCAGAAATTTGTAGATCCAATAGATCATGATGAACTCGTCCCTGCTGTGCAAACGTTTTCAAAAACGAATGAAAAACGAAGAAAATACCATATGGTATGCAGTTGGTACCGAGAGGCCAGAATTTTTTTTTCCTCAAAAAATATTGAAAATTGATCTCATTTTGTAGAGCACGATGAACTCGTTCCATCTGTGCAAAAAAAATTAAAATCCGAGTTAAAACGAAAAAGATATGAGTCAATTAAGAAAACTAGTGAAAATAAAAATAGCCTTTAATTCTCCATCCTTAGATCTGGATTTTCTAAATGAAGGGTCCAGATTTGGTTATTGATGGGTGCATAACCATGGGTTATGCACCCTATCTTGAGCCAGAGTAGAGAGCTGTTGAATTTCAAGAACAAAATAAAATTGTAAATAGCCACGCGCTTAGTAATAATTGGGCTGTCATTTCTAAATTAGAACCTAAGTGTTGTTTTAACCTTTTTCTTATGCAACAGTAACCATCTTATATATTTAATAAGTATTAAGATAGTGGTGTTTACACGAGGTTTCTCCACTTACTTTGAGCCAATATAATATCCTACTCTAGTAGATTTCTCATTTGGAGGTGGATTAGCGTGGCATGCAGATAGTTAATCTATTCTATGGATTTCTCTGTTGTGGTTTAACTATCAAACATGTATTAGTGTCCTAAAATCATACAAGTCATTTCTAACTAATCTCAAAATACGAACACAAATATGAATCATAAGCAATATGGATAAACTAATCAAGGTAAACAAGAAATTAATTACAATATATACTGGAATTAAAGCATCATAAACAATATTTGAAACCCCAAGGGTTCACAACCCAAAAAAAACTATTCCAAAACTAGCCAGTTGACAATAGCTTGGGATAAAAAAAAAACCTAAGCTGGAAAACGATGATCTCTCCCTAATTTGGCGCTTTTTGGTGCCAAAATGGGCTCGAATTGTGGTAAAATCCGCCGAAATGGAATGGGCCTCTCTAGCTCCATTTATAACTTCTATTCCATGGGTCTTCATATCCAATACTCATGCAAGAAGATCCTATATGATGTCTTGGTCACATATTAAAAAACTATCTGAAAAGGAATCAAATGTGTAAATCAATCTTAGAGGCTACCAAAATTTTGAGCATTTACCAAGCAAATCCAAATCAAAATGACTAATGGTGCGTTTAGATAGGTGTATTTCAAATGTAAGGTATTTGAAATACGGGATCGTTTGGAACTTTTGATTCTGGAAATTATGTATTACGAGAATGTGTGTATTAAAGATTATGTATATACTAAGAATGAGTGATTTTGAAAATTCATTGTTTGAAACCCATACAAGAATGCGTGGATTATAGTTTAAATAAACTATGGATACTAAAATCTCACAAAAAAGGTAAGATTATGAATACATAATTTTCTATGTATTAGGAATACAATATGGATTATGAATACATGCATTCTGTTATTACATCAAGTCAAAAAATGTTGTATTCTCAGGATACATGTATACTAAGAATACAACATCTGAAATCGGAGGTTCCAAACAAGCCCTACATGTTTTTAAAATGCATGCATTTGAAATACATATAATTCAAATTCGTTGTTTGGATACTCATTTGTTTGTATTTTAAATTTTATGATTTTTATTTTAAATTTTCTTGTCACTTACTACAAATTTTGGTACTAAAATTTATTTTTCCTTACAATTTAGTACATAGACTTTTAAAATTTTACAAAAAGGTCCAGAATTTTTTATGGTGCAATTATGTTTTGGTGCCTTTATATGTTTTTCCTCGCATTATAGTACCTAAACTTTTAATGTTTTATAAATAGGTCCAATCTTTTGTTATGAGGTATTTCAAATCACTAATTGTTGAAATGTATTTGAAGTTGACAAGTAATACACTAGACATGTATTTGGAAATCAGTAATCACCCCATGAATTTGGCATAAATTCAAATACCAAATGTAATTAATATCAAGCACATGATTTGACATTTCGAAATCCAAATCATTCCATCCAAATACACCCTAATGAATTATATGGACCATTACAGAAGAGGACGTAACTATTTTTAAAAAGAATTTTGGACACTTACACTATCTCACCATTATACACGTTAATCTTACCTTTGTTGTTGAACAACTGTAGCTTGTATCCAGCTTCCCAAACCACACATATGCGGCTATACCCGAAGAATGGTCCATTGGATTGTTTTAGCTATCTATCAAAATCAAACCTTCTTTCTTTCTTTGGGGGTATAGTGATTCAGATTGACTTCATTTGAGACAAGAGGTTTAACGACAATGGTCTTAAATCATTTGGAAATCCAAGAAATAGGGGATTGTTCATCGTTTGTCATCTGAAGGTAAATAGAGAGACTACTACTACTACAGCAATTGGATTCCATTTCATTACTAACTGTACAAGCTATTTCTTATTATGATTAGTAGTTAGTTAGTTTAATTTTTTTTTTTTTTTTGATAAGGGTGAATACTGCATTAAAAAGAAGAAAGCAAGTCCGAGGTACAAGAAAAAGAAGTGGCACCTGACCAGCATTCAAACACAACCAGCACCTGCAAACCATCCAACAGACAGCCGAGAAGCAGGCCACCTACATTAGATCGGCGAGGACCCGGGGTCCCAACTCACAGGAAACCACCGGAACAGATCAGTTCAGACTTGATGGTCGAAACCACTCCACCGTAGCTCTGATCGCCTTCCGAAAAACCTCATTGGCGCTTTTGTATTTTAAATTTCATGATTTTTATTTTACATTTTCTGGTCACTTACTGCAAATTTTGGTAAATCATAGTTTGGTACCCAAATTTATTTTTCCTTACAATTTAGTACCTAAACTTTTAAAATTTTACAAAAAGGTCCAGAATTTTTTTATGGTGAAATTATATTTTGGTACCTTTATATGTTTTTCCTCGCATTATAGTACCTAAAATTTTAATATTTTATAAATAGGTCCAATCTTTTGTTAGGAGGTATTTCAAATCACTAATTTTTTTAAATATATTTGAAGTTGACAAGTAATACACTAGACATGTATTTGGAAATCACCCCATGAATTTGGCACAAATTCAAATACCAAATGTAATTAATATCCAAGCACATGATTTGACATTTAGAAATCCAAATCACAAATACTAAATCCAAATCATTCCATCCAAATACACCGACCTAAAGAATTATATGGACCATTACAGAGTACGTAACTATTTTTAAAAAGAGTTTTGGACACTTACACTATCTCACCATTATACATGTTAATCTTACCTTTGTTGTTGAACAACTGATGCGGCTTGATTTAAGGATTCTAAAATACCCCAAGAATGGTCCATTGGATTGTTCTAGCTATCTATCAAAATCACACCTTCTTTCTATGTGGGTAGTGATTCAGATTGGCTTCATGTGAGACAAGACGTTTAACGACAATGGTCTTAATCATTTGGAAATCCAAGAAATAGGGGATTGTTCATCGTTTGTCCTCTGAAGGTAAATACAGAGACTACTACTACTACAGGAATGGGATTCCATTTCATTACTAACTGTACAAGTTATGTCTTATTATGATTAGTAGTTAATTAGTTTACTTAATTTTAGTTACTTTTATAAAATGGGCGGGGCGGGCACCTTAATACACAGACCTGTCTCACACCAAACACGGATCAAGTTGAATAATACCCACTTGCGCGGGTATATATGGTTCGGAGCGGGTCGACTAATTCTTATATATTGTTTGAAGAAAACATGTATTTCTTAAACTGATAAAAACAAAGAAACTGCATTTCATAAATCAAAATATAAATAATTAGGTAGATTGATTATTGAGTCAAATCCGTTGAAAGATGAGGTCTTGGCACTTATTTAAAATGTTATTGGGTAAAAGTATGAGTTAACGTAAGTCAAAATAGAAAAAACAAAGACAGATATCAAGACAAAACGAGATAAGAACGAATAAAAAAAAAGACATAACAAGATAAATCAAAAGTAATATACACATACCCTGCTCCATATATACTACCGTGGACCGAATATCACTCGCTCCAAGCACGAATCAAGTCGAATAACATACACAACATACTTATCGAATTGTCATCACTAATGGTAGTAGATACCATATCCTTTTCATATACTCCTTCACTATCATATCCCTGTTTATCATTTACATCTCACCAGCTTATTTAGTACACTCTTCACTGTTCCTTTACCAAACAATATTCGACACGTAACTTATAAATCTCCATTTTCGCCACCTTACCCTTTCAAACCTTGTCGGCAACCTATTTTAGAGCGTCTCTGTGTTTAAGTTCGATGTATACAGGCGCCATGGATATGGAAAGAACAGTACACAAAATTTAAAGGTCCGGCACCGGCAAGAAGTAGGTCGGGGTTTATGGATGGGACAGAATAATGTATCATTTAATGAACAATAATAAAGTATGAATACGACGCTCATCAGTAAAGCTTAATGAAGAAGTCCCATCCTCTTGCATGTGTTGTATGGTGAGACTCAGTGCATGGTGCTGCCTATCGGATCGAATATGGGCCACCAGTACGTAACATAAATCTCGAAATCGGGCCGCTTCATTAAGATTCTTTCTCTTATTTTTCGGATGTGGTACTTGAATTATACCCTAACAATAAGATATTCAGTATCATAAAGTAGATGTGAAAGGTGAACAAAAAATAACCGTAACTTGATACATCATAGTATGCTTTATGATCAATTCTGGGTTGAAAAGGATGTGATCATTGTAATATTTGGTAATGGTACTTCGTAAGTTTCAGCAATGTTTGGATTCACACATGTGAAGGGGTTAATAATGTTCGGCTCTACACGTTGAATTGGAATTTTAGATGGGCCTTTACTTAAAATCATGATTAAAAAAGGCACGCTTAACCTTACGCGCGCTTAGGCATATCTAGGCGCAAGGCAATGACAAAACACCTCGCTTAGGGGTTTCACGCTTAATTAGATGCTGGAACACATCAATGGAGTAATGCGACATATAATTCTCTCCTAAACTGTACTAGATGGAGCTAGGATGTCAATATCAAAGGAGAAAATTAACGTCAACTACGAAAATAATTTTCTATATCAATATTTTCAATAGCTCAAGAACTTTATGAGCTATTGAGCTATGATTCTATGAATTCGTGAGCTATGTTATTATTGCCATTAAGTTATCATTTTAACTGAGGTGAGGAAGTGTTGTAGATTATTATTTCATTCGTCATGTAGTGCGAATAACAATTTTTTTTCCAACGCCTAGACACGCTTAGTCTATGCCTAGACAAGCTAGACGCTAGGCGAAGTCTCAAACGCTCGCCTTACGCCTAGCGCTTTTTTGAACCTTGATTAAAATAGTGAATTGAGCCGATTATAAATTTTACAATCTTTCCTAGATTACGGATACTTCTTTTATATATAATCTCCAATACATTTATTACAATCTTTGCTAAATGTATACCCATGATAAAAATCATTCATAAAATATTATGATTGTATCTATACGACAACAACAGTAATTAGCACTCCCACTACTCTTCCCACATAATTTTGCTTCTGAGTATATATATCATGATAAATTCTTAAAACATATATTTAACATCATACACAGATCATGTTAGATTTCAGAGTGTTTACGAGAATTTCTCTATATAACCTCAAGATGAGATGAGACAGCTAATTAATTAATCCAACAACAAACCCCCAGTAAACACTGAATACGACTAGTGTTTTAGTTTAGCGGACGAGGTTACCTTTAATGTGGTTGATAAGTTTGGTTTGATCAATCAATCAAAATCCCAATAACTCAAAACTCTCCTCTTGCCCCTACCGGCCTACCCTCAAAACCAGAAGAAGGAAAATAATAATAATAACATTGTCGGTTGCATTTCTCCCTATAAATTCCACTGCCGCTCCACACATTTAGGCTCACACGATCCACAACACCACAAACAAACAAACAAACCCTTCCCACCACCACTCCAATTCGAAACTCTCTTCCTTACCACATTTCCACGCAAAATGGCATCCACCATGGCTCGCTGGTTGGCCTTCCTCGCGGTGGCGGCAATGATCGCGACGGCGGCGGCGGCGGAGGGTAGCGCCGGAGTCAATGGGCCGGCGCTGCAGGCGTGCAACCCGTCGCAGCTGAGCTCCTGCCTGCCGGCGATATCGACGTCGGCGCCGCCGACAGGGCAGTGCTGCGGGAACCTGAGGCAGCAGGGGCCATGCCTTTGCGGGTACCTCAGGAACCCAAACTTCAGGCAGTACCTCAGCTCTCCCGGGGCAAGAAAGGTTGCTAGTGCCTGTGGGGTGCCTTTACCTCGTTGCTGATTAGTGATTATCCACAACTGATCATTCAGAAGAGGATGTGGTTTGCAACTCATAATCGATCGGGTCGCTAGTTCTGTGATACATCACGTTTTAAATAAAATTGAGATGTGTAAGTGACGGTACCATATATATATGGTACTGTCATCTCTCATGAAAGATTTATGTGTATGCATGATTTCCTTAGTTTTTCTGAGTTCGAGCTATATGTATTAAGTTAAGAATGGGGTGTGATCAATTTCCTTTTATTATATGTCTATCTCCTCTTTTCTTCCCCCAATTTGGAAGTCTATATATATTATTGAGTTAAAAATAATCTTAGTTGTCGAATCATATAAATTTATAGGGTTTAACTATTAACATGTGTTGGTCGTTCCTATAGCACATGAATCCTATAGCACACGAAATATCGATTTGGGTTTGGCTTGTTGTGGTAGAAATTACTGAATACAAACTGGTATTTAGGGATACTTGTTTCCTAGAGCCTTCGGACACATACAACCAAAAAAGTGAAAAACAGGTGCTCTGTCTCTACCACATCAGAACAAAACAGAGAGCCTGCTTGCACCTCTTTCCCTCAACTGATGAGTTTACCTCGAGCAGCAATCATGTCATAAAGTTGGGTAATGAATAGCAATTTTACTATTATACTTGTGTTTAAAACACAACAACGAATGAGTTGTAACCTAATGAAAAACATGTTCATCAATAATAATAATAATGTCTTAGATTCAAATCATCTAGTCTACTACTTATATATTTTTTTTTTGGCTCAATTGTAAGTTTGGTCACTTGAATTAATAGTAAATTTCACGTTAGCCACTAGAATTACTTTATTCCATCCGTAGTCACTTAAATTAGGTTTACAGTTTAAGTTTGGTCACTGACCGTTAGTCTCCGTTAACTTTTGCTGATGTGGCGGTCAACTATTATAGTTGACCGTTAAATAATTGACGTGGCAGTTAAAAAATAACAAAAAATAAAATAAATTATTTCTTATTTTCCAGCTAATTATTATAAATTAAAAAAAATAAAAATAAAAATTTCTTTAATTATTATTTTTCACCGTCATTGTGCTTATCGTCTCTGCCGCTAACTTCGTCGGCGTAGCAATTCTACTACCCACCGGGGACGGGGAAATCAAACTCCAAAAGTTCTCTATTTGAAAGACTCGATAGGGCATTGGAGCGCCCCGTCGATGAGGCTGGGCCGAATTCGCGCCGCCATGAGCGGCCCGAATTCCGGAGGTCGAAGGGAAATCCTGGCGTGGCGCGGCAGAGCGAGCAGTTGGCGTAAGACCTAACCTAGATGTCGATGCAATCGACGTGGAAGGCGTGGGAGCAAACGGGAAGCTTGCGGACGTAATCTCCGTCTTCGAATTCCAGTAGGCAGACGACGCAGTCTTTGTAGGCGGCGGTGGCGGCAGGGGAGGGCAATTTTCGAAAACTGCTGCTGCTGCTTTAGAAGAAGATTGGAATCGTCTTGATCAACGACTCGTCGAGATCGTAGGGAGAGGCGCTGAGGTAGATGTGGTGGAATCCACCTGGGGAAGTCGAAGAGCGGCGGCGGCGAGTCGAGGTAATCGCCGGCTTCGTTGGTGGACCAAGCATTGCAATGAGGTGCTAGATGAGATATAATCGAAAGAGGTAACTTCTTTGTGATGATTGCAGGATGTCCACTGAAATCTCAAATTTGTCAAATCGGCAACAAGGGCAGGCAACTCTGCAACAGAAAAGAAGTACTGATGTGTTGTTGACACAACATAATCATCCAACAGCATACGGTGGCTCAAATAGGCAATCAAACAAGTAAGAAACTTCAGTCTTCCCTTGTTTCCTCTTTGCAATTATATAGGATTAGTGCCAAACTCAGTTTCCCTCACGCTGCCTTCTTTTTCTTTAACTTCCAATAAGGGGGTTGTCGACAGAAACATCCAGTCCAGTAACTTATACATGAAACTGCATCCCTCACACAAGAAGCAGCTTGGAAATCATGAAACCGTGGAAGACAGATCAAAGTCGATCTATCATCACGGTCATGGTCAAGACGTTATGATGATGATCGAATAGCTTCAATCAAAGAAATGGGGGGTGGGATGGACAGCTTAATTACAAGAGCTTGCATCTGCAATAGCAAAGAACCCCATGTCTTATGGGCTCTTGGAGACGGTTCAGGAAGTTGTGGATTTTGAAATGGAAGAATATGCAAATCATCCGGTGAACCCAATGCAGATGAACACGGTCTCTCGAGAGCCATCTTCTCTGAGCGAATCTTCAGCTGCTGCACCAGTCGTTTCATCTAGGTTCGATGCATGTGATGGTCCAAGCAGGTTGGTGGTGGCTGAGGAATCGGAGTTTTGGAGGACTGTAGGTAGTAGAATTCCGACGCCGGCGAAGTTAGCGACGGAGACGATGAGGACGATGGAAGGAAGGATTCACTACGGTGGAAAATAACAATTAAAAAATTAGGATTTTCTCTTTTTAATTTATAATAATTAGCTGGAAAATAAGAAATTATTTTATTTTATTATTTTTTTAATTGCCACGTCACTCATTTAACGGTCAACTATAATAGTTGACCGCCACATCAGCAAAAGTTAACGGAGACTAACGGTCAGTGACCAAACTTGAACTGTTAACCTAATTTAAGTGACTACGGATGGAATAAAGTAATTCTAGTGGCTAACGTGAAATTTACTAGTAATTCAAGTGACCAAACTTACAATTTAGCCTTTTTTTTTTTACCCATACACAAACTAATATCGGAATTGAATAATCGGTTTTTCAAATTTTAAGGGTGTCCGGAACACCCCAAACTAGGGATGATAATCGGTTTGGTTTGGTTATAACCGGAACCATTTAGTCGGTTCTCAATTAACCGTTAAGCACTTTGTTCTTATCGCTAAACACATCATTTAGATTAGTCGGTTAACCGTAAACTTGTAGTCGGCTCTTGGTTATTTTTTCGGTTAACTGAATAATCGTTAACCAAGTGATCCGACAATGTTATACTAAAATAACCAATCGATAACCTAACCAACACAAGACCTACTTCATTCAATTGTGAAATTTTCTAAAAATTTTCATACATACGCATGTAATCTTTTCTTAAATTGTTATCATTGAATAAAAGATCATTTAACATAGATATATATTAATACATAATCAACTCAATCCAACACAAGTACACAATAATATCATTCTACCGTCAAACTTTATTAAAGAAGCATACAATGATACTCAATAACAATTACTCAACTCGTAAACCCCATCAAATTACATGGAAGGTTAATGTTACTAATTGTTGTCGAGCTTAAGCAACTGTGTGCAAGTATGACTTTCTACTGTGTTCATTCTAAAACTCTACCTTTAAATTATTCTCATTTGAGTCTAAGTCACTATTACACCTAGTAATGTTAATATGGCTACATGTTTTGATTAGTTAGTTGTGGATGTTTATGGTTTTGGATTCTATTATTTTGGTAGCCCTAAATTATGTTATGCATTATGTTTGTGTCGCCCTAAGTACTAATTATACTAAATGTTTCAATTAAAGTTAATCACTACTTATTATAAATTGCATACATGAGTAAATTCAAGAAGTTCCAGCTTATTATTCGGTGGAATGGTCGGGTGGCAAACTCTGACATTGGGATCGATTATGAAGATGGTGAATCCACTATGTTGAATATGAGTCCAAATTCACGTGGCAAGAACTGCGTGACATTTGTGCATACAGGATTTGTATGGGCGGACAGAGAGTTGGTAAAATTACTTACCGGTATCCAAACATGAGTGTTGGCGGGGTTATTTACGAAGAAGTTGTTATAAATGATGATGACGCGGTTACCATGATGTCACAATTCCTAGTTGACAACGGGATGCGGCTTGTAGAGGTGTATGTTGAGACGGAGGTAGTCGGTGAAACTCATTCTCACAAGTATTCTTATAATGATGGTTTTGCAGGGGGTGGTAGTTCAAGCAACTACGGAGGAGGTAGTTCTGCAGGAGGGGTGCCATGGGAAGAATACTCGCAACGGGCTGAGCCTGCCCCATTTGTTAAGCCCGATGTTGTTCAATGGCCTGATTGGGGGCCAGAGTAGGCTGGCATTGAGAACACCATTCGATCTGGGCGTACTTATAGTAAATCTAATACATAAATGTAAATTAATTACAAAGTTGCAAGTAAATTAAACTTACTTGACACCATAGTGGGGGATTTGCCACAACTCGTAGCTCATCATCTTGCGCCCAGAATTCACGCAGGTCTCGAGGTGGGAACATCGGAAGATACTCTCATGCCTAGAGCTAGAGGATGAACATCGCACCACCAGCTTGTTTTGCTCTCACCTTCGAGCAAGTACACAGCTCCCTATATACCCCAATTAACACTGCTGACCCCCAACTCTTTCTACCGATCGTGTCCCAGTCAGAAGGAGCAACGACAACCACGTGCCATGTATATATCCACCTGCTTGCCTTGTCGGGGAACAGAAATCCACCAACCAATCCAATTATATAGATGTGTGCATACCACTCCACTTGATCTTCGGGGGTGTTTGGGCCGATATTAACCGCATTTTGGATGTGATCAACGAGCCACAGAATCGATACTTGCCCTACATTCAGCGGTGGATGCCCATGTCCTTGGATTTTAGTAAGGGTCGACATGTCAAACCCCAAATGTTCGAGAATCAGCGGCCCCCAGTCTTCTTCGGGTTTTCTCGAGTGGTCGATGATGGCCTCTCTAGTGACCGGTAGCCCGGTGAGGATGGCAACGTCGGTGAGGGTGATCGGCATTTCCCCCTCGGGAAATTGGAACGTATGTATTTTGGGGCGCCATCGCTCTACCATTGCCATCAACAGATCGTTGTAGATGTCAATCCGCATGAAGTGTCTCACCATATCCAAACTCGTCCTCTCTAGATACAGCGAGAGTCGAGCATGCCAAGCGGGCAAGCGTTTTGTCCGTCTACGAGTAACAGAAATAAGTGATTACTACAAATATAAGGCAAAAAACACGAAGTTGTAGTCAAAGGAAAACAAAATCAGAACTTTTAAAATACTGAAATAATTAACAAATTTATACGATACGGAGTGTCTATCGGATTGTTGTGCAAATTGCACGAGAGTGTTGTGTTGCTTGCTCGGATAAATAATTTGCATCCCTTGGCCCAGGATCGATATACAATCGAGGATCGTATATCTTGGCACCCATTTATAATTTTTTTTGAATGAAATCAGATTATTTCGATTACAAAAAAATAGATCACAAAAGGAAAAGCAAGTACGTACCGTAAGAGCCTTTTCGTGATGCATGCAAGCGATGAGCCCTTCACCGCGTTAAACACATGTAGTGAGTCCTTCATTGTTTTTCACAACGGAGGTGTTGGTTAAAATTTCATTCACTGCGTTTCATTAAAACGATGATGTATTCACCATAGTCGATAAAAGCGGTGAACGTCTTCACTGTACATTGGGAGAAAAATTATAACGTCTGTATTTTGGGGGGAAAAGAACATGTGTATTTACGGGGGAAAATCCCCAAAGAGTAGGAGTTATGTGGCTGTTGATAAAATGGACAATGTACAATGTGTACTAGAAGTCTAGAACGGTAAAGGATTGCTAGTGGAATTATTTTTGAACAATTCAAGTTACTGATTGGGCAAAATCGGACAATTCTCAACCGCCGTATATCAAAACTTTTAATCGACACAAATCTTATTCGAATCCTGATAAATACAACTGTTTGTATTATTAAAAAATAAATGATAATCACTTACAAATCTCAAATCCATAATTTCCACATCAAGTATGCATCTACGAAACAAAACGAATTACATCCAATCTCCCTTGAAACAAGAATAATCAACAAACAACAAAGAGATACATTTACGTGCACACACAAATCAGCAAACTAGACACTCCCCAGTCTCAGTCTGCCTTCAGCTCCTGCCGCAGACAAAGCAGGAGAAGAATCTCTGGACGGCAGACTTATTGGGCTTGGCGGCTGCTGCTGCTTCTTCTTCTTCCTCCGCCGCAAAGCAATAAATGACTTCATTCTCGTCGGCTCCGTTGGCCCTGGCTTTCCCGCACTCGTCGACGAACAAGTTGTATCCGCTCTCGCAGAACTTGCAGGCCTGGCCGACCGTCATCCCTTTGACGAGCTTGTCCGGGTAGGTGGAGCTCTTCTTCTTGTGCTCTCCCATCACCGCCGCCGTCATCTGCACCATCACCTCCTGGAATTCGTTCAAGGTCGCGTCTTCCTTCGCGTCGGCTTCCCGTAGCTTCACTGCCTCCCCCAGTATCACTGCGTTACAAAAAGTATATAATTAGTCACCATCTTTGCATTTAACTGAACTAGAATATTCAATCCAACGCCATAAATGGGAATCATTCATATATATATGGATTGATTCTATCGTAACTTTAGTAAATGAATGAATATATCATGGTCATAATTCGTTTACCTAAGTTGGTTAAAATGTGACTGAAGTTTGAGATAATCAAGTCATAGGATTCACTCATCAAAAAAGGTTAGAGTATAGTATTATGCCGCAAAATTCGGTTAATTCGAGGTCTATATACCGTTTTCTTCCATGAGTATCTTGTACCATAGATGAACCCTGTGCAAGATAAAAAGACACTGAAAGAAATACAAAGTTTGTTTTCTTGCAAAATTACTAGAGAAATAGGTGGAAATGGGAATGGACAAACAGTACAAATTGATTAGTAGGTTGATTCTTCTAGGCCTGACGTTCCTCATTTCAATGGATATTACGTAGAGAACTTTTTCAACAATCAAACATGTGGAACTAATTTGCAACAAATTGAGCGTAACTATTTTATTTTGATATAGAGTACGTTATTGGTATGGATGAAAACTCCATTACTTATGAATTCGCTAAATTAAAAGACTGCAGTGTAGAATTAACATTGTAAAGAAAATTATGCTTATTATATATATTTTTTACGGTATTTAATTTTATAACTCGTATATAAATATACTCACGTGGACAGTCGTTTCTAGGAGCGGATGCAGTCAACACGCCTTCGAAAGTGCCCGCCCAAGCATCACGCTTGGTCAAAAACTCTGGAAGGTTGAAGATCTTCTTCACGGTGGCCGGAATGGAGGAGTGCTCGAACTCCGAATTCGGGTACGGCCCTGAAGGTCCATGCAACACTGCGTATACATTCATACCATCATGTTATAACTATAAAAAGTACGTGGTATAACATTCTCTAAACAATTCGAGTTATTGGAACCAACTGATTCAGTACAGTTAGTACGAAATTGAATATAATTACCTGTCCCGGGTTGGATCCAGGGCGAGATTAGGAGTGCAGGGATCCTGACGCCGAGGCGGTCGAACTTGAAGTTGTACGGCGGCGGGCCGACGACGTCGTCGGGGCTGGGGACGCCGACGACGGGAGTGGGGACGTGGTCGTAGAAGCCGCCGTGCTCGTCGTAGATGACGACGAAGAGGATCTCTTCCCACTGCGGGCTGGAGCGGAGGGACTCGTAGACCTGCTTGACGAACTGCTGGCCGTTGGAGACGTCGTGGGAAGGGTGGTCGTCGTTTCCCGGGATGGAGAGGAGGTCGAAGTACCGTTGCTCCACTACGACGTAGTTTGGGAGCTTGCCTTCCTCGCAGTGGCGTTTGAAGCTCAGGTCGAACTGGTGGAAGTTGTCTATGTACTTCAGCTTCCTCAGGTTCCTGCATATATGAGAGGGCAGTTCATCTTCAGGGTTTAGCCATTGATTAATTCAGGGATAAAAAAAAACAAAATTTTTTTTTTTTTTAATTTCTTATCACAAGTGGTTCGTTATTTGTGATGGTTAAAAATTGATACATTTTATGAATACTTATATTATAAATTGATGAACTGTTTTATTATGTGCATTTAATATCTGTGTTTGGTAGTTGTAATTGTAATTTAGTATTTGTGTTTATCATTCTTTTTAGATATATACAAGTTGACAGGGATATATATATAAGGAAAGAAAATTGAGTTCACATTCATTAAAATACAATCGTAAAAATCACACCAAAAAGTTTGAGATTGTAAATCATTCGTTTTGAATGATCTCAAGTGTCACATGAGCGATGAAATGTATACATTGTGTATTTGTGTTTCAGTTTGGAACAAAAAATGATAAATTCTATATATTACATGCATTCATTAAATACATAATTTATATACGTATATACCAAATAAACTCTAAAGTTTCTTTGATAAATATGAAAAATTCATCATTCTCTAAACCCAAACCGAAATTCAATTTAATAGAAAATTATAATTGACCGTTGAGATTTGTCAGAGTTTATCGAAACACATGATCATATAACCTAAAGTATATAAAATTCTTAGAGTATTATCAGTCTTTAATTATGCTTTGTGTGTTTAGCAAGTAATCTAGAATTTGATTTTCAGTGGTACATCCATAGGTATATACCACTGGAAAACCAATGATTTTCATGTCTGGAATTTTAATATAAGATATATCAGAAAACAATAGAGTCGGTCACGGAGGGGTTGACTCCTATAATTGTTATGATCTACCGCTAATTACGGATCCCAGAAGTTTAAGCTGGCAGCTGATTTGGATACGCCATCATCACTGAACATCTCGGTTTAATATGATTTCAAAGGGAGATCCCACCAATCTCAGAATATCTCGAGGTATGAAGTCCTTGATTAAATTTTATAAAGAATTGTTAACGAGCTGATGAAATGGTATGAAAAAATATACCATCATAAGTAAACACAACGACAAAGGGAGTGTTTGGCTGAATCAGATTTTGCTTGGTTGGCCATGATTTATCCCTTTGGTAATTAATCATTAATACCTAATCACATCTCCTAGCTAATTGTCGTCGTATGTAGTTCTAGTGAATTAAAAACATTATTTAGAGCCTAAAAGTTGGAAACTAATAAGAATGAGCTGTTGAGAAAGGCAATTAAGCTAAACATTTGCCCCCAGTCGCCATTGGATGCTGCTGACGTGGCGGCTTTTCCCCACGACATAGATAGTTGGTGAAAAGAAGAAGAAAAAAAGCTTACTACATATTCCATGTGTCGGTTGATCTTAATTTTTATATAATATATTAGTCAAAAGATTTCAAAGGGTTTGGTGATGCTAATGACACATTAGGTGAGCAATTATTTCCAGGAAACATCAATCATATCCAACTTGTTCGATATACCCACCACTACACCATATTAGGTAAATTCACTAACACTATTCGACGTTTATTTGAAGAAAAAAAATGGTCCACACGCATTAGTTTATCAAGATCCTATAAGTATATATACAAAAAAACACTTCTTTTAAGCATCGTAATATTCGTTTCGAGAAAGTTACATGTCACATCTGGCAGCAGCATGAGAAAAGCTTACTATTTATTAAAGAATGGATGAAAATCATTGTTTCTACTATTTATACATGAAAATTTATACCTAGACGAATATAAATGAATTTAATGAAATTAGACGAAGAAAACATCGTACACTTTTGATATGCTTTTTGTCGTTCATTTGACAGAAGAAATGCAGTTGACATGCTCTCGAACAAAAACGCTCATTTTAATTGTTTAGTAACTTTTTTTGTAATTGATGCTTGAACTATCGTATAATGATTCATTTGAGTGAGCTATTTTCATCTGATTTACTTCTACTCTAAGCTTGACATGTTTAGAAAGGCAACCGTTCAGCTAAAATTATGCAGCCAGCTGCTAGCTAATTCCATGTGATGTTTTACCCATAATAACCTCTCCCATCCTAATCCCTATATTAATAATACTCATTTCACCAAAACCACTGAAAGATTACTGGAAAAAAACCCAAAACTAATCAAGATTACCTGTAAAAGAGAGTAGCAGGAGGATACTGATAATAAATCCCGAAACTATGCCCAGCTTCCTCCATCGACTCAAAAATCGTCTTCTGCGGGAACCCTTCCGCCAGCTGCTTCGTGTCGTTGCTCGTCGCCCCATGCGACGTCGCGGAGTGAACGTAGAGCCGGTTCGGCTGCGTGGCGGCCGGCACGGACGCGAACCACCGGTCGCAGACCGCGAAGTTTTCGGCCAGCTCCTTGTAGACCGGGACGGCGTCCGGTCTGAACCCGTTCATGACCGTCTCGGCCATCCCCTTCAGGGTCCGCTCCGCGTTCTGGGCGAACCCGTTCATCTTCGGGGCCGGGTGGGTGGCGGCGGCTGACTCGGCGGTCCACTCGACCCCGAAGACCTGCTCGTAGACGGCCTGGATGGAGTGGCCCGGGTCCGGGTCCACGTAGACGGCCTGGTCCTTGAAGTAGACCAGGTTGGAGTTGGAGGTGGTGGTGGAGATTGGGTTGGATTCGGAACCGGTTACCCCGTCGATTTCCGGGTTGATGGTTTTGAGCCAGCCCAGCATGTGGTCGAAGGAGCGGTTCTCTTGGACCAGGATCACCACGGTTTTGATCGGGGATGCCGAGCTCGGATCAGATGCGGTCTCCGACACCATTTTTTTCTTCTTCTTCTTCTTCTTCTTCTTTTCTGTGTAGCAAGAAAATGGAAGAGAGGAGATTGGTATCTGAATATATGTTTAATGCCTTGAGTTTGGTTTTATATATAGAAGAAGGGAGGAAGAGAGACGTGTTGGAGAAAGTGGGGTTTGTTTTGCTTTTGTTAATGACTTGAGGTATCTAAAGTCTTGCGTTTTGATGATTATGGAACGTGGATAAAGAAGGTTGTTAATCCGTAGGTCGACTAGTGGGTTGATCCGTACCTTGGTGAGTGAAGTGGGCGTTATATTCACGTCGAACTGCAACAAGGTTTTCACTTTTCAGGTTGGAGGTCATACAGCGTCGTTTTTCTCTTTCGTTTGTGAAATATTTATTTTTCGAATTCTAAATTGATCATTTGAATATTAATATTATATGAGATTCGATATAATGTATAAATTTATGTACAATATAATGATTTTTTTTCATATATCTGGACTAAAACAATCAGACCATTAACCATCAACCCACTTACTCGATCGGGCGACGGACTAACCGAGTTGACAACCTTGAAATTTGTTGGGAAAAAGTTAATGGGGATGAGGTTGTTGGTAATGTGTGCGTAGGTTCCTTATTATCGCACGTTATATTCTTATCTATATCGATCATATTATATAAATACGGTTTCGGCCATCCCCACTTTTTGCGCCATCTTTAATTAGTCTTAACCATCGTTTTAATCTAGTTACCGTTTTAGCTATAGCGCTTAAACAAATGAGTAACTAATTAACCAGTTATAACCACAGTTACTGGTACGTTACTACAAAGTTAATTACGCATTGGATGTATCAAATTTACTCATGTTATTTACTTGCTTTAGGTTGTTGGTTATTCACTCTTACGACATTAAACTTTCATTGATTATTGACTTAGTACCGTATCGCATGCTGGGTAATTCTAGAGTATCTATAAACGTCACATGATAGGTTGTACGTGTATTTTATTTGAAGACGTAGATGGAGATAGGTTTATATTTTAAGACGTAAATTGAGATAGGTTTATGCGTGTGGATATTCAAAAGTGAAACTAATATCTGTCACTCCGCGCCCAAATGAATATACCAACCTCAGAACAGGTAACGTAGGACGAGTCTCATAGGAGTTTTGCATCAAGTTAATAGTTTAGCTACGAAAACAGAAGAAAATGGAGTGGGAGTGGAATACCTAAAAGGGATATTCCATACGTGCGCGCGGCGAAAGAGTGTTAGGTACAAACAATTTTGATTTCTTTTCAAGCAAGAAACTAAAATTCTTTCTTAATTATCGAATAATTCCGTTTGACTTTTTGTTTACTTGTGTAACGAGGTGTCCCTATGTCCTATGATGCTTGATTTGTAGTTTTCAGTTTTGTACAGACAGGGCTTTCGCTAATAATATGGGTCAACATTACTTAATCTGGTAATAACTTCGTGCTGAAAGTACAGGTGTACTTTAACTTCTTTTTTTTTATGTTTTTTACCCAGACCTTATGTCATGTAATCGCACGACACGTGCACACTTCGACAATTACGTGCAGCCAGTTTTGCCTTGCCGTTTTATCAATTTTCTCACATCTTAATCTCTCACGTCAAAGATAGGTGTTTCTGTACCACTAGCAACTATTGGAAACTAACATTGTGGTATATGATCCATAATTGAACATCTCCTAACAATTCGAGTTATTGGGATCAATTGGTTCTTGACATGGTATCAGAGCCTTCTGTGATCGAGAGGTCTTGTGTTCAATTCCCGGTGACCCCCATTTGTTAAGCACATGGTATTCATGTCTTCATACTTGTGCAAACTTCAAGCCCTTGTGAGTGGCTTTCATTTGAGGGGGCGTGTTAGTGTTGTGGTATATGATCCACGATTGAACGTCTTCCAACAACTCGAGTTATTGGGATCAACTAGTTCTTGACAAACTGCGCTTTATATTTTTCATTACAATGGTCTAGGATAATCTTTTAGATCACCAAGCTAAAAAACTTAGATTTATATTTCGATCTCACTTGCCTTCAATAAAACATGTGTGTTGTAATTAATCTACGACAGTCGAGAAACATCACTTAAAATTGGTATCATTAACCGATTGATCGTCAGTTACTAATCAATAATGTCAGTCAAACTGAATAGATGAATTTGTCTATCGATAACTGAGACTAAGAGACAAAAAAAAAATTATATGTTCAATCGTTTACCATGACATATCAGTTTGATTAACGGTTAACCCATAACCATACAACTAAAAAACAACCCTGCCTTTAATTTGTGTTATCACAAGTGGTCATATGAACATTGAAGCACACTAGACAAACTGGTCATGGGTGAGTATGCTTCATGAACATAAACTGAATTCCAGAATTGAATTGAGGGGTCACTTGTCTAAAGGGTCACTTAACTTTGAGTTTTAATAAATTTATATTCACGTAATGAAATCATCACTTGGTCCAACTTGTTTTCGTCCAAAACCAATCTATCAAAATTAGTGTTTAAGAATGCAACTTGTTTCATGCACAAATCAACCTTATCCAAAACCCGTCGACCCAAGTTGTACCTGAACACAATTTATTAACCATCTGAAGAATGGTCCATGGAGGATAAAGCCGCCTTCAGAATGCATACCATACAATGATAAACGCGTTTTGAAAGAGTACTTATTTCCCTAAATACAATTTATTAACCAAATTTTCAAGTCAAATCTTTCGAAATACAAAATATTAGCCAAACCTTTTGTAACGAATCAAAATATTAGTCATTTGTTTTGTTAATGTTGATAATTTTGTAACTCTTTTCTTAAATAAAATACTAAAAAATTTTACATTGACTATCACATGTCTCTTCCAACTCAATATCATATTGTCAAGTCAACGTTGTTAACAAAACTGCTAAGCATTTGATTAATACTTTATATTTCAAAATGTTTGACTAATAATTTAAAATTTTTGAAATATTTCACTAATAAATAAATAGTATTTACTCAAAATAGAGGATCCACTACCAATTAACTGTATATATCATAAGACCAATATACTTTTCCCAGTTTATCCAAGTTGCATGGTGGGAACATAAAATAATTCCACTACCAAGTACCACTCCGATTAGAAACACCTTATTAGAATATATAATACACCTTTATAATCTCATGTGGGAACATAAAATAATGTCCGATTCATCATAGCCTTCACAACTAAGCTTGGGGGGAGTTATTTAGTGCATTATCGAAAAAAGAACAAAATATAAATTTATAAAAAAAATTACTATTTTTATATTTATAACAATACAAGACATTGTTTGAGATAATCAAAATTACTGTAATTACTAGTATGATATGTTCAGAACAAATTAGTAAAGTACAAACATAAAATTGACTATGCATTTGAATTTTTAGCATGTTTTTCAATATTTTCATAATTGAAAAATGAATGTTCACCTATATTATAGACCAAAATAACAACAATAATAATAATAATAATAAATTATGTACCCGAAAGACTCCTTAAACATAGGGATTTAAATATAGAAGAATTGAATTAACTTGCATTGAAATTGAATGTTCAAAATTGTTATTTGGCCCTCACCTCACCTGCAAAACCAGTATTTGTATTAGTGTCTACCAAGGTTGTCAACTCGCGGGTCGATTCGCGAGTCGACCTACTTTGATCCTGACCCGGTGAGAAAAACAGGTCGCACGCACTCGTCGGATCGACCACTACAAGGTATCAGGTTGGAGGTCAAATTGTGATATTTTTTTCTTTGGTTTGCGAAATGCGCATATTTTTCAATTTTTCTTTTCGCCTAACTCAATCTTTGGAATCCTTAGTTGAATATTGATGTTATATAAGTGTGTGTGAATTTTCACTATATGTTGAATCTAAATACGACATGTTACTTTGGTATAATATTATATGTTATTACTCATATGTTATATGAGATTTGATATAATTTATCAAGATAAGTACTAATGACTCTTTCCAATATTTCCGGACTAAAATGGGTGACCCGTTAACCCTTGACCCACTAACTTGATTGGGTGGATCAACCTACTGGTTGACAACCTTGTTGTCTACTCCCGTCATGTAGGGGTGGGCATTGGGTGGGTCGGGTGGATTTTGACTATAAAATGCACCCACCCGCGCTTAAACGGATTGATAATTTTTAACCCACCACCCACCCACATTTAGTCTCGGGTTGGGTTGGGCGGATGGTGGATGATGCGGGTGGGTTGTGGGTTCATCCACATCGAACCCACATCACAATGTATATAATATAAAGGAGTCAACTTGACATGATAATAGGTGAAAAATGTCGAATTAGTTCTTAAATTGGATAGAAATTCTATTATGAAAGAGTTTTCTACAGATTGAGACGATTATTAGGTGCAAGGAACTAAGGAAAATAATTCCACAAAGGAAAGAGCGGTGATCTAGGCACAAGAATTAGAGGAAAAAGAAAAGGGAAGAAGAAGGGATCTCTATTTGGAAGGTTGGCTTTGAGGTTTAAACTCCAGGAGCAGTCCGAGTTTATATCTAACGTCTCCACTCTCCTCTCTCTAGCGCCAACGACTTTGATCTTTTTGCTGTTGGGTTGAGCGGGTCACCCGCACACTCACCCACAACCCACCCACCACCCGGCGGATGGCTCCCAGCGCAACCCGTTACCCACCCACAGACCCACCCACTTAACGAAATTTGGGTCAAATGCGGGTGGGTCGGTCTAAACCCGCGGATGATCCGCCCGCATGCCCAGCCCTACCGTCATGCATGGCCATTATCCAAGCCCGTCTCTAACTTCAGAACACAATCACATCCCAAAATTATCGGGTTTGCCTAATTTGCATGTAGAGAAGTTGAAGCGGGCCCATAAAGTAAACCATTGGGCCTACATTTTGAAGTTCCCAAGTGCTCGTTGAGTCGTTGTCGGTCCGGGAAGTGCACCTGCTACAAAATGGTTTTTTCCTTCGCAGGCTGGCCATCTAATTGTTGGGTTCGGTGGGCCCAAATTGGCTTCCATGATTGTGCTTAAATCGGCGTTGGTGGTCGTAAACTGAAGGCCGAGAGAAAGGGTAGGAAGTTGGGCCTGCCCCTGTGGGCTGTTTCGGCAAGTTGTAAAACTGTAGTTTGTTCATTGTTGGTTGTTGCATTCCGTAAAGCAGAAGGCAAGGGGGAAAAAAGAAATTTTATTATTTTGTAAAAAAATGATGGTTTAACGTGATTCAACCGTTTGTATCATTATAATTGCCTACCGTTTGGGGCATGATATTTGATATTTTTGGGCGGACCGAACGGTACGATATAGTTTCTTAAACCATGTTCATAATACTATGGTCGCAATACTATACTAAATTTGTAATACTATACAAATTTTATAGTTGGAACTAAATAACGGATTAACAAACATAAGAGATTATAAATTGTGATCGCCTAGAGGAGGGGGAAATTTTCTCTCAGACTGATGGATTTTGGATTTGATAGAAAGAAAGTAGTAATATAAGGGCTAGGAATGAGAATTACACATTTATGTATAGTTTTATTAAGAACCTACTCATAATTTTTTTTATTATCAGAACCTAATCGCTATTAAATAGTCAGAGTTTGGATCAATGATAAATGAGTCGGGGGTATGGATAATGTTAGTTGCTTATAAAATGGCTCATGAGCTATTATTTAGTATAGAATTCAAAAGTTTTTCACGGGAAAATAAAATTAATCAGGCTCTTCAAATAAATATTCACTCCGATATATGTTTTAGAAAAAAGTCATGTTAATATATGCGTATTTCACCACTTTATATTATGGTGATAGATGTTGGAAGCAGAGAAGATTACATTCACTACAAAAAAAAAAGTCTATGACAAGGGTTATTTTCCTTCGTAGCAAGGGTTTTAACCCCTGCTACATGATGTAGCAAGGGTTTAGTCAACCCTTGGTGCAAGTCCCCTGCAGGGGTTGTAGCAAGGGTTTAAACCCTTGCTACACGTATGTGAAAAATTCAAGCGTGAGTTGCTCGTACCATCGGTTATAACCCTTGCATAATTCGTTCCTACATCTAGCAAGGGTTTCGACCCTTGCTACAGGCCTTTGTAACTTTATATAAAATTGCTGAAGATACACTACTTGCAAGGGTTTAAACCCTTGCACAGTTTGTGACTAAAGCTAAAAAATATTTGTGTCGAAATCAAAATGGTCGCTAAAAGTCGTCACTAAAGAGAGGCAACAAGATTCGCGACAAAAGCTTGGTTGCAAACCCTGGTCATTAAAACAAATCCAGAACCAAGTTTGTTACTAAAACTCATACCATATACCCATTAATCATAACATAATATGATTCATAATCTAAAATGGTGTTCTTTACATGACTAAATACTAATCACCATGAACATTCAAGCATACTCAAAAGAACCCAAAATGGTGCTCTTTACATGACTAAATTCATACCATATATCCATGAATCATAACATAATATGATTCATAATCCAAAATTGTGTTCTTTACATGGTGTTCTTTACCATCGACCATTTCCAAAATGCTTCATACAACATTTGATCACGAAGCTCGAGATCCCATTGATGGAGTAGGAGCACTAGTGGCACCCTGCTCATAAAATAAAATAAAGAAATAAAGAAAACCCAGAATGTGATGTTACAGAATAGACTCAAGCTCAAGCACTCAGCTCATGGGTCAGCATACTCCACAATGTAATGTTAAGCAGTAGATACCTAATATCATTACTGAAACATGATACTCACACTTATGGAAGATAAAAACAGAAGTGCTCTGTTAGGTTTGGTTGCATGATTTGGATAGAAATAAAACCTCCCATCAACTCCAAAACATGTATGTAACCAACTTAATGTGGACACGATACAACAATAGAAGGAAGGGGGCTTAGGGTAGCACATCAACTCCAAACGAGGACCAGATAACGAAGACAGAAGACACCCTCAACTCCAAAAATAAGACCTATGGCATTCAGTCAAAACAGGAAAACCCATGAACAGGAAAACCCATGAACAGCAGCCCAAGCTGAAGCCACTACCACTATGACCAATTGAAAAAACTATGATGTCTTCTCTTTCACTTATACAAAAACCCATTAACCCGAAATCTATCGAGCTGAAATCATAGCAACAACCACAATATATCGAATCATATTACAGAAAACAAAATTCGAAGAAACTATGGACGCTCTACTCACCAACTACAAGATCGGGTTCACAGTACCCCCTAGATGATGTCTTCTCTTTCACTATTAAACCCCCCTTCAATGACCAGCCAAACAATTGTGCTTCCAAATAATTGTACTTAAAACATACCCTTCAGGTGCATGTAGTAGCAGAGTATGGATCAAAAACAGAACCAAAAACATTCAGATGTAATTGACTAGGAAAAAAGACAGATGGGACATTACCTGATCTTCCATCCAGTTTTGTCCGGGAAACTGCCTACTTATGAACCTCGCCATGGCCTCCATGTGTTTCTTCACCTCCGTTAACTTCTCTTTCAAAGCAGTCGCATCCTCAAATGAATGACCAGTCGAACAAGATCCACCCACATGCCATAACATGATCAGCAAGAACACATAATTTCCATGAACATACACAATCTTCCAATCCCAAAACACAGTCATAAACACACAAGCTTCCAGAATTACCCCCCCCCCCCCCCCGAATGACCAGTCGAACAAGATCCACCCACATGCCATAACATGATCAGCAAGAACACATAATTTCCATGAACATACACAATCTTCCAATCCCAAAACACAGTCATAAACACACAAGCTTCCAGAATTACCCCCCCCCCCCTCCCCCCTCAATCATCAAAAACAGCATAATTAAATAGTCATAACTGAAGTTTTACCTTGGTGATTTCAGTATTTGCCGGTGAAATGGTTTGAACTCTCTTCTTTTCCAATGCTCTATCGACAGTGGAGTCAAGGTGTTGTTCTTTGCAATCGTCCCAAGAAAGGATGCAAAAAGAGATGGCTCGCCACCACACGGAACTCCAAATTCGTCAATCTCCAATTCGATCCTTTCACTTGCATCCATGTTCCATACATCTTGCACCCTCGTTTTTCCTCGTGTTTTCTGATTTCTGCCATTTTCCCCTGACACCAAATGACAAATTAATTAAGACTTTGCTAAGACATTCATTTAGAATTTGCCTTAGATTTAACTCCAACATCAATAGATATGCTATAGGAACTACCTCCTTCAGGCAAAGTTACAACAGCAGGCCCATTTTCACCAGTATTACCACAACCACTACTTTCTCCTCAATTCACCTCTTTCAAGGTTTTTCCAGTCTCATTCATCCCCACAATTACTTCATTCTCCATCCCATCAAATACAAGAGAAGCAAAAGGCACAGAAAAACGAGCTTTTGACCCACAATAACAACTAGCACAAAGGTTCCACTTTCATATTGCAATTCAGAAACAGGGAGGAAGTTCATTCACAAACAAAATGGTGACAAATATAGAATCATGGTCTCAACTAATTAATACATGAAACAGACTGTTTCCTGCTATAAAACAACCGTAGGGAGACTAGAACTTCAGATTTTCACACCATAGCTAGTGGCAGTGAGTAACTTTCTTCAAAAAGCTACGCTAAGATTGTTGTTTGATTCCCCCCTAATGATTAAAAGGATATGTTCATTGTACGCAATATATGATGATTCCTTCATTGCTTTTGTATATGGTACAAATTAAAGGAAGCAAGCCTCATCATCCGCAGGTTTACAAAATGCCCAATTAACCTCTGAAACTAGAAACATATTAAGAACTAAACACAAAGGGTAAAGAAAAGAAGAGGTGTAACTGTGTAAGTAAGCTAGCTAGTAAGGAAAGGAAAGGAAATTAACTCAACCATTCTAGGAACAAGCACTCTCTAGACCACCAAAGTTCAATAAATAAAAAGTGGTTTCTATGCTAGCACAACAAGTTTTTGTATTCCATATAGTACCTGTGCTAGCAGACCCTTCCTCATGTTGAGACGATGAATGTCCATGCTGAAAGCCCTCTTGAGCGTCAGATTCAGTAACAATTCTCAAATTTCTTAGATTCCTTGAACTTGAAACCATCTGTAGTCATGAAAACAACAGCAGGAAGACAAATTCAGAACATTATATCACACAAAACCTTGAAAATGAACAATCACAAATAGCTTTGACACAACTTCCTAGCAAATTATGTCTCTTTCAGTTCATTGCTCTCTATCTACTGCCCTACACTTTCTTACTGTCCATTTTAATTACCTTTTCCACACAAGAGAAACATGACAGTTAAAACAACTTATGGGATAATTTCAGATAGTTAAGGTAAAATTAAGAGCTTATGAACATTAGGCAGAAGCCATTAATCTCTGGGGATAAGGAGTGATCATCACACGTCCATAGGCAATAATGGAACCACGTTGAGAAACTAGCTTAGGTGGATCTTGCCTTCCATTTTTTTGCAGCAATCTTGTTAATGCATGAAACTTACTATATACTGAGAGCAAGGGCCTACCAACAACAGTAAGAATACTACAGCTCAAGGAAAATGAAGACAAATCACATTTTTCTAAGCAACTACTAAAACAGAGATTTCATAAAACCAGCACAACGATTGCCTTATGATTCAAACACTAAGAGATTCCATCTGTAACCTAACTAACACGAGCTCGCTCGCGCGAGAGAGGGAGAGCGCAAGTGAGGACAGAAGAGAGCGAGCCAGGGAGAGAGAGCAATCGAGGGAGAGAGACAGAAGACACCTTTCAACCGGAGCGAGCGACGGAGACCTAATCGAGCAAGGAAGATCGGAGACCGAACGCCGGAGTGAGCGATGGAGACCGGAGAACCAACGGTCGGAGAGAGCGAGTACGATTGGAGAGTCGCCGGTCGGAGTGAGCGAGTAAGATTGGAGAATCGACGGCGGAGTGAGCGAGGAAGATCGCGATCGCCCTTTCAGCTGGAGACAGCCGGAGAGAGGAATCGTTATTTACCTTGATTAGCTTTGTTGTTATTTATATTTTGAATTGATAAACTAAAAGAGAACCAAAAGGGAAACAGGGGGTCTGCTCGTATCGAGAAATGGAACAGGGGCTGAAATTTGGTTCAAGTCTTAGCAAGGGTTATGGAACTCTTGGAAAGAAGCTTTGCTACCGAAAAATGTAAAAGGGAAAATAAGGGGTTCTCGCGTCTGGTGAAATTTGGTTTAAGAGTTAGCAAGGGTTACCAAACCCTTTCAAAAAAAAGTTGCTACTGAATATTCCGAAAAAATTAGCAAGGGTTACAGAACCTTTGCTATGGAACCCTTGGCAAAAGTCATTTTTTTTGTAGTGATTATGGTAGTACGAAAACTTATCAATGTTATCATGGTACTAGCTAGGAACATACGATAGTGTAGAATGGTGGTAGGAATATACTAACGAGCATCTACCATCATCGTCTACTATCATTTGACACTATGGTAGATGGTGGTATAATTTTTTTCATACACATATATATCGAGAACCAAAATTATTTTGTAGAGCACGATTAACATGTCTAATGTGCAAACCTTTTTTTTAAATTCAAGTTAAAACCAAGGAGTTACTGGGTGATAATGGATAAATCATGATTAATTATGAATCCTACCCAATCTCTATGTTGAAATCACATTCGGATAACGAAAAATAAAGAAAATTATCTTGTACTGATTAAACATTACATTTTTTTGTTGTTTGTACTAATAGATCTGTTAGTTTAATATAACGAGCTCATCTAATCTGACTCGAGTCTTGTCTGGCCGCCCATGTACATAAAATATATGTAAGAGAGCTTTATAATATTGATTTAGCTTTGACCTGTCTTAGCTTAGGAGCTTAGTCCCCATGCATGCATGCATGCAAATGCAAGTAGTGGGCTTCACATTCAATTAAATTAAATTTTGTTTGCAGTTTTATGATCTCACCTGGCCATGTTTGTCCTTTCTTTCCTCAGCTCTGACCCGTCCTACGAGCTGCCTCCCCAGGCAAGCCTAGTCTCGTCGTCGTTATAAGTTATAACTTTGCTTTTTTCTTCTTTCTTTTCCCTCTACTTTGTTGGCTCCAAGGTGTGAATCCAGCAGTGAATATTTTCATTCTCATATTACCATTGGATCAATTTCTTGGAGTCTTGTTCTCCCTCCATCATATTTTTAATGTTTTGTTTAGAAATAAGGGAAAGAAAGTGAGAAGATAGAGAATGATAAATTATGGGGAAATGTATTTGGGTGAGGAAACTTTAGTGTTTGATTTTTTTTTGACAACAATTGTAGATCATACCGTTTATCGATTCTTCATCCACCTGAAAATCGAAAGATTGCTCAAGTGATCCCTTTTAAGTTATTTCCTAACGAAAAAACCACAGAAAAACAAGAAAGATGGAAATCAACTACATTAGCCATGTATAGACTCTGGGAGTTTATGATATAGAGAAATGCATAACATAATTATTCACATGGGTGAGATAAGGGGAATTATGACGAGCGAAGTGACCAACCCAATTGTTCAAAACAATCTCAATGTCGCCGCAGTGGTGATTGAGTGTGAGAATATCTTGACCACCCGGGAGAGGGAGAGAAGCGATAGCACAAAGAGGAAAGAGAGAGATGAAGTTATTAGTTGGGGTTAATTGCATGGTTGGTCACTAACATTACAAAAAGCGTTCATGTTTGGTCACTGAAAAAATTTAAATCCATTTTTGGTCACTAACTTTACAAAACCCGTTCATTTATGGTCACTCTCCGTTAGCTGCCGTCCAACGCCGTTAACGGCGTCCGTTAAGTGATAACGTGGCTGACGGATTCGCCTAATCAGCACCTTTTAACCCCAAGATTGACCGCCACGTCATTTAAACCCGCCATGTCAGCTAAACCTAACCAAACCTCTACCCAAACCCGAACAGACCCAACCCGCTAACTAAAACCAAACAGAACCAGACCCCAACGATTGTTTGACTAAACCCTAATCTAATCAAAGACTGCCTCCTCCATCGCGCAGCCTTCCTCCCGTTCAGTTTTTCTTCCTGGAGATTTTAATCTCCGATCGCGAATTCGCCGGCGCGGCGCAGCCTTCCTCCCTTCCATCCGCGCAGCCTTCCTCCCTTCCTCCCTTCCGTTTTCTTCCTCCATCGCGCGCGCCTGACTTCCCCCCTTTCGCGAGCAGTTAACCCAAACCCTAAATCGAAGCTTCGAAGCTTCGATTCTCCTCCACTATCTGACAACGAGGCCGGTTCCCTTTGTTTATTCGATTCTCCTTCCACTTTCTGAGCAGTCAACAAAACCCTAAAGGTGAGTTTCTGCCTTTTCTTTGTTTATTCGAGACCTGTCTGGAAAGACTGAAAAGGAGAAAAGAATAGGGGGCAGAGGAAAGGATCTCGTGTGTGTTATTGCTTTTGGGGGTTCACTGTTAGCTTTCTTTTATACTAAATTGCATGTTGTTGTTGGTTTTCCAGGTCACCATTTCACCGAAGGAAGCATGGTGGGGCATGTGCGGGCTCCAAATGAAACTCAGCCTAACTATGGTAAGTCTCCCGTCGTTTTCGCCCTTGTCATTATGGTAGATGGCTGGTTTTGATGGTAGATGGGTGGTTTGGGTTGTCCTTTTCCACAGTTGGCATTTACTAGAGATGAGGACATCACTTTGGGTAGAATTGGAATAGAAAAATGCAGGGTTCTGTGGGAATGACGAAAAATGCAGCCTTAGGGTTTGACTTATTCTGTCTTTTAATAGAAAATGGTGGGACTTGACCACCTACTTACCTGCTGCTCCATAACTGCTCATTTCCTTTTAAATTAACTCCTTTCAATTGCTTTTTTTTTTTTGACCAAACAGCTACTTCCAGTGGAGAATTCACATTTGCAGTTCATGTGTCCCATGAAGTGAAAGAGGTTGGCGGCAAACATTTCCTCAATGAAACCTCCACCGTGTTTTGGGACTATGCAGACATTGATGAACTCTCAGTGCTCGACCTTCCTGGCATATATGAGGCGTGTGGTGGGAAGATTAAAGAGCCGAGGTTCTTCTGGAAAGATCCTTGCAACGATGCAATGTCAGAGATTGTCAATGATGAAGATATTCTGAGCATGTCAATAGCGGCCATCATCAAGTCAAGGCTCTCAACTCTCACAGATTGCAAGCCAAGTGACTCAAGAAGAGCAGCTGTGAAGAGTAGACTTAAGTTATTGTGAATGGTTATTTTGAACTTTTAAACTCTAAGGCTTCTTGCAAATCAATGTGGATTTGCCATTTTGTCATACAAGTGCAAATCAATGTTGATTTGCCATTTTGTCATACAAGTCCATGGAGAAGGAACTTGTTAATTATGCATGGCTCTTTTGGACAACATAGCCGTTAATGCACTAATTATGAATGAATCTTAGATGTGATCTGTTTGTTTCCGACTTAACTGTCAAATAGTGTAATGCAGAACAGTTAGGTATTGAAGTGTTGTTCTAAATCTGGCTTTTCAAGTTATTGGAGTGACCAAATGTGGACCTTCTCATGTTTTGGAGTGACCAAATATGGACATTTTCATATTTTTCAGTTACCAGATGTGGACCATTACATGTTTTTGAGTGGCCAAATGTGGACCTTTACATTTTTTAAGTGCCCAAATGTGGAGCTTTAGGTTTTTTGAGTGACCAATCGTACAACTAACATTACTTTCAGAAACAAAACGTGAAGGGTTAATTTTTCTAGGGTTACAGTCTACAATACAGAAACGATTACATCAGCAAGGTTGAGCAAATAGCTTCTTACATCCCCAATCCCATCCAGATGAAAGAAAAGACAAGAGCAATCACAATGAAGATGAACACTGGACAGCCATTAGCTTTGGACCCTTGCCCATTTTGCCTCTTCTCTAGTTCCCGAATCCGACGATGAAAGTTCAGCAGCACAAACTTCATATGTTCGTCAACTACTGGGTCATGCCATCTGAAGAAATTACATGCCCCATCTGTCTACAGATCCAACCACAAAAACAGAGAGGGATGAAGGAGAGGATGGTCGAATGGTATACAAATCAAAGCAGAAAAGTCAGAAATCTTACCCCATACTTGTTGCACCCGTAGAACCTCCTCCCTGGATTCGCCTCTGTCCAGCTCGTCTTGAGATCTGATGCCAATCCACAACGACAGAAAGGTGTCGCCATTAGCAGAGGAGAAAGGGATGAGCAGAGGAGAAAGGGATGAGAAGAAAACAGAGCTGCGAAGGTTTTGGGAAGATGATAGGTTTCTTTTGCCCAGAAAGCGACATAAATAACATAGATGAGTGGGTGGGTTGGGTCTGTTCGGGTTTAGGTAGAGGTTTGGTTAGGTTTGGTTAGGTTTAGCTGACATGGCGGGTTTAAATGACGTGGCGGTCAATCTTGGGGTTAAAAGGTGCTGATTAGGCGAATCCGTCAGCCACGTCATCACTTAACGGACGCCGTTAACGGCGTTGGACGGCAGCTAACGGAGAGTGACCATAAATGAACGGATTTTGTAAAGTTAGTGACCAAAAATGGATTTAAATTTTTTCAGTGACCAAACATGAACGCTTTTTGTAATGTTAGTGACCAACCATGCAATTAACCCTTATTAGTTGTGTATTTCATTTTAAGTGGATACTGGATAGAGTAGTGGTCCTAGTGGAGACTAGAGTAGGAGTGACAGATCATAAAATGTTCACTTCTCACCTCATATTTCTTCTCCGAATAATTACAGTCACTAAAATCTTTGTTTCACTATGATATTGGAAACAATTTTTTTTTTATTTTTATGGATACCGAATAGTATCGAAGAGAAGAAGAATGAATTTTTCTAGAACATTATTTGTCTGGTCCAGACCAAACCGCACCGTACAAACGTGATATGATCTGGACCGTATAATATATGTTCTCATCCATAATTTGTGTTCTAGCCTCTCGAGTTGAACTAAAAACCGTATATATATTCCGGTCTTGTACGAACTGTAGAGGCAGACCTACTTGTTGGTAAGGGATGTCGGGGGTGTCGTCCGACACCCGCGTCGCCCTAAAATTTTGTGAAAAACCTATATTTTTTTGTACAAAAAATTTTAATACGAAATTTTTTACACCACTTTAATAATTATAATTTATATTTCTTTATTAGACGACACTACTTCTCATGAACAATCCTAAGTCCGTCACTGACCAACCACACTTTTTCCCACCCTTTACCTAAAAGAGATGACACTTCTGTAGTTCTGTACATGTTTGATTTGAGTTCCTGATTCAAAATTCCATGTTCTTTCTTTTTCTTCTCTCCTCCCTTAATCTAATGTTCTTCTCTTATTTGGGATTTGCTCGCCACCTGATCTGACGCAGCCCCTTGCGCCATCAAGTAAGAACAAAGCAAGTCCCAAGTGGATTGGAGCAGTTCGGGTGCGACGCGGCGCCACTACCACGTGCACATTTCTCCTACTCTATCGCTGTCGAGTCAGTACCCCAGACACAGGTAGTATATCCATCCAGTGACCTAACTAACTAGCTAGCCAGTTGATATCCGTGATTTTTATTTATTGTTATCATGGGGAAAAAAAGAACAAATTCAACCCCTCAAACAAACTAATACGCTACTAATCAGATTGAAAAACCGTATCGAAAATTATATCTGAAAAGTTAGTGGATCGGTATTGTTTTTCTGAAATTGTGCATGATCCAATTATTTCGTACGACTAAAATACCACCTATCGGTTAAGTTTTTCTGGTCGAACCACCGACAGGGACGGAGCCAACTTAGGACTAGGAGGGGCCATGGCCCCCCTAAAATTCTGGAGTTGGATAAAACCAAGTATGGGTAACTTGTAGCAATAATAATTCTGTAGCATAGTGGATGGAGGATAGTTCTATTTTTCTTATTTAGGATGGGATTGAGGTTCGATTTCTATCTTTCTCTTGTTGCCCATTTTTCACTTTATTTTACTTTTTTCTTGTCGGTTGTTGACCTAAAATACGAAATTCTTATGTGGTGGATGTTCTCATCCTGCATTATCATTAGGCTAATTATGATGTGGTGGATGTTCTCAACCCGCATTATCATTAGGCTAACTCTTGGGATTGTCTTTATTTCAACACTTTAAAGTCAATTTCATGTAATTTTCAGTGAAATTTATCTTTTTTTTTCATACGATTTTAACAATTTTAATACTTTTTAATTTTATTTCATATTTTTCAAAATCAATTTCATGTTATTTTAAAGTGAAATTTTACCATATGTTAACCTTCCCTACCAGTATAACATATCCTAAGTTTCAGTTACAGCACCCATAAATAATATGTCCCGTGATAAAATACATCGAACAAGATATATCATGATGATTATGTTGGACACAATTTTATATGGTCTTGGATAAAAAATTTATGTACCATTCGAAACTAATATTTTCTTTTACATATGATTTTTTACTATTAGTTTGTCGCAACAAAAAAAAAAAAAAATACTGGCCCCTCCTACAGAAAAATCCTGGCTCCGTCCCTGACCACCGATACGATAAGTTTTGTCAATCCCAGCTACTAATCCATCCCCAGCCTGTGTTTTACAGCATTAAATATTAATCACATCTTCTTATCCCTAACAAACTCTTTCTATAAGTACGATCCCAAAATTGCATGTCTTCCTCCTTACCAAAGCGAACAAAACGAAAGATTAAACAACAGATCAAAATCCAAACAGCAAAAACCCTCCTCTCCGGTCTCCACCATTGACATGGACGCCGACGCCGACGCCGCCGCACCTTCCCCGCACCGTGACCAGCTCTCCGTCATCCTGCCACGCGTCCTCATCGTCTCCCGCCGAACCCTCCGCAAGAACAAGTTCGTCGATTTCGTCGGTTCGTATTCCCCGCAAAAATTCAAAATCGAATTCAATTTTCAATCCCCGATCCCTCCCAAACAATCGTAAAATTTTATTTTTCATCAAAATCCAGGGGAGTACCATCTAGATCTGATCGTCGGGTACGGCGCCGTCCCCGTCATCGTGCCACGCGTCACCGGGGTCCACATGCTCCTCGACAGCTTCGAGCCCATCCACGGCGTCCTCCTCTGCGAGGGCGAGGACATCGACCCTTCCCTCTACGCCGCCGACGCCGACGCCGCAGGCCTCTCCCCGGAGGAATTCGAGGAGGTGAAGCGCCTCCACGCCAGCGACACCGCCGTCGACCGGGAGAAGGACTCCATCGAGCTCAGCCTCGCCAAGCTCTGCCTCGAGCGGAACATCCCGTTCCTCGGGATCTGCCGCGGCTCACAGGTCCTCAACGTCGCCTGCGGCGGCACGCTCTACCAGGACGTCGAGAGGGAGCTCTCCAAATCGCCGGCGGGAGGCTCCGTCGCCACGAAGCACATCGATTACGACAACTACGACGGCCACCGGCACCCGATTGCGGTGGCGGAGGGGACGCCGCTGCGGGATTGGTTTAGGGATTCGTTGGTGGAGGAGGAGGGCGGCGGCGGCGGGGATGGAATGGGGATCTGGGTTAATAGTTATCACCACCAAGGGGTGAAGAGGCTGGCCCAAAGGTTTGTGCCGATGGCTTTTGGGCCTGATGGGCTTGTGGAAGGGTTTTATGATCCGGATGCTTATAACCCGGAGGAAGGGAAGTTCATTATGGGCCTCCAGTTTCATCCCGAGCGGATGCGGGACCCGGATACCGACCGGTTTGACTATCCGGGTTGCCCCAGAGCCTACCAGGTCCGCAAAGTTTTTCTTCTTGTTCTTCTTCTTTATTTCCCCGATTTCTTGCAAAAGGAAAATCTTGAATTTTTTATAATTAATATGGTAGTGCCGACACGTATTAATATTTTATTAAGTAGCTGAAAAATCATTAAAAATATGCAAGAAATACTAATACTTTATGAAATAAAGTAAAACTAGGAAATTTGAACCATGATTATTGGTAAGGAGCTAGTGCCTTCGATGCTAGTCTACTTTTAGAATTTGTTACACATTTTAATTGTAAATTTACCTATAATAGAAAGTTGAGGAGGCTATACCCTCTTTTGTGCTTAACATGGTTTCGTCATTGTTTTCAATGAAAACCGCCAGCTCAGAAGGGTTTGAAATTTGCATAAGAATCCGAATATCATATGCTTAACAAATGAGGTCACGGGGATTCGAACAGAAAACTTAACTTTTGATATTGTGTCAAAAAACAGTTAGATTCTTGTAATTTAAATTATTGAAAGATGTTCAATTATGAATGTAAGAATAAATTATGTAAAAATGGTTTTCTTGTGCACAATTTATTCGGGAGGATGAAGTGATTGAGAAACCATATGTGCACGAACATAAATACATGTTAAACCCAAGCCCTAAAATGGATGTTACGTACGTACGTGCAGGAATTCGTGAAGGCTGTGATAGCGTATCAGAAGAAGCTGGTGAGCGGGAGCACAAGCAGCGTGGGGAAAGCGGTAAAGCTGGATGAAGAAATGGAGAAGAAGAGGAAAGTGATAGTGAGGAGTTTCTCGATCGCCCGGAATATGTATTCGGCCGTAAGCACCGGCCGGGAGAAGATAATAATGCAGCCATCGACGGAGTCCGAACTCAAAGCCGGCGCCGAGTTCCTCGAGGTATACCTACCTAACTTCAATCATTTACTCGTATTGAAGTTCATGACATGGTATCAGAGTTGACGCACCACAAGAATAGTTACCGTGAGATTTTTATCAACATGAAAATAGTGAATTCTGTGTTGTGTGGATCTGCATTGCATGCATGCAGTCGAACACGGCGCTGAGCGTGCAGCAGGAGACGAGGCTGAAGCAGATGGGGGCGACGGTGAGGAACGGAGGGTCGTACATCCAGCGGCTGAAGCTGAACGAGGAGAGGGAGAAGCTGGCGAGGAACGTGATGGGGAAGATGTCGGCCGACCAGCTGTCCGATCTCTTGTCTTTCTACCACATGATGTCCCAGATTTGCTCCGACGTCTTGGAGAGGAAGCTCCATTTCGACGTTGCCTTGGACTGACGACGATATTGCTTGCCGTTGGAGTGTGCTTTGTAAATATCCAACTTTTTTTTTTTTTTTTTCGTTTTCCAGAAAGGAGCGAAATTGTTTGGCTTTTGATGCGTTAGATCATAATTAAGGTACAGGGTGACATTCAATTTTCAAATAGGATACAAACTTCCTATGAATCAAACAATTGACGGGAAAAAATTTCTCTTCATGAACATGTGGGAAAGGTGAATTGTCCAGGCTCTCTCTGCAGTACACTTCGAAAATGAAACACTAGACATAGGGATGGCAAAAATACCTATGATCATGATACTCGCCCGAATATATTTTCGATGTGATAGGGTAAAACCCGAACTAAATAAAATATCTGGTAATACGGGTAAATTCGAACCCAAAGATCACAGATAATAAGGCTTGTATGATTTTCTCATTATCCAATTCCGAACTCACCTCGATTATACTTGCAATACAATATCTGCTATAAATCGTTATTTCTTAATTTAGCATATACTATATTTTTATTATATTTGTAGCTTCTCATGAATTATTTTTCCTCTTTTATTACTTCTCTTAGTATTGGTTTGTTCCTTTTTTTTTTATTTCCTTGTATTAGTGACTAATGACTTGTTATTTAGTTAAAAAATTTAACCTCTGTGATGTTAATATACTTATCCTTGGATATATTATCCTTGGATATCCATGGATACGGAAAACCCTATGGGGTATGAACATAATTTTAATTTACTACCCGAATCTTGCATGAGTATGGATAGAACCCAAACTAAATTGGAGAGGATAGGGAATAGTCACTAACTCGCATACTAGTATGATGGCTCCTCCAACGCTTGCAAGATTGATAGTGTTGTCACCCCCACTATTTTTCCCTCTCACATATTCATCCAACCCAGGAACGGAGTCAGAATTTGATGATCAGATAAGTCAAAGTTATTTAGTATAATATCCCAAAGAAGAGAAAATTATGAAATTTAATATTTTATTTTTCATAATATATTTTATTATTACAATAGCACAAGACGTTATCTAGTACATAATCTTATTGAACAATCACACATTCATAAACCATTACTTATTATTTGATTATTGTATAATCAGATATTGTAATCATATAGATATGTAACCGTCTATTATTTTAGTTAAAAACACCTCATTCGTGCTAATTATTTTTAACACAAGCTCTACCAAGAACGTTTTCTTTTGGTAACAACCTGAATATATTCATTCAAAGTATATTTATTTCAACAAGAAGGGACTGGTATGCAATGTAAAAGAACAAGGGCAAGGGATTGGGACTTATTGAAGGGAAAAGAACAATACGAAACACAAATAAGTGAGATATTTAAAACAAACCTTAAATGAAACACACATTATTATTGTTCGTATATCATGTATATCAAATATCTAGATGTGTCCATCTAGCTAGATATAACCATGATATTTAATTGGCTTAGGCACAAACATCGGGATTGGCTGAGAGATACTCAAACATCTTCTTGTTGACACGCAATATCCTTTCTGCCCCGCTATGAATTCCATCCGCTTTCTTTACATACTGAGTAGTCAACTTACAAATACAACCTTGCCCTTCTGTCTCAAACTTCAACTCAACCACCACTTCTTGATCATCTGAATCCGTTATTGTGTACTTCGCGGATAAGTTCGATGGGTCTACAACATCCGCCTTAGTATCCAAGGTCATTAATTCAGCTGTCACTACAACCACGCAACCGAACAATATTAATACGATGAACATTCATTACTCGTTCGACCCAAGAAATCAATGGTTGCAAGAACCTAAAGGTTTCCTCTCATCAATAACTCAAATTCTTGGTATAGACCCACTATCAACGGGAAAACACATAAATGAACAACAACATTCACTTATATATATATCCAATCTTACTCGATTCGACTTCGACCCAAGGAAGAAAGAGGAAAGAGAAAATGTTTACCACTATCAATGAAGGTGACTTTGAATATCGTTCCGGTGCCTCCATCGCCTTGGATGGTCTCGATATTCTTGATCATTTGAGGAAAGACGGTTGGGTAAGTGGCGGCGGCTTGCAGGACCACAGCATTGAACATTTTTTCGGCTGAGATGTTGGAAGATTTTATCTCCTGGGTAACGGTAGTCATTGCCATGGTAAATGGAAGGATTTTTTCCCTAGCTGGCTAGCTCTAATAATCGATCGAGTATCGGAGAGGCAAAGAGAACTTATTGATGAAAAGGAAGCTCAAAGATTGGAATGTGTGGGATATTGTAGGGCTGCAGTACAGGTATTTATAAGGAAGGTAAGTAGGTAACACATTTCCACGCTATAGTATTTATAATGTTGCTCAAGTATCTTTTGCTTTGCACGAGGAATCATATCAGATATATGCTTTAATTTATAGATTCAAACTATTCTGTGATACCGGTTCTTATCATTTGTTCTTTGTCCAAATCCACCAACGCGGCCACGCCCGATATCAAATCTCTTTTTTAGATGGTTGTTGCCTATGATTCGAAGACATGGTGTGGTGAAAGTTTTAAGGGTGCGTTTGGATACAATGATTTGGATTTGGTATTTGTGATTTGGATTTCCAAATACCAAATCATGTGTTTGGATACTAATTTATTTGGTATTTGGATTTGTGTCAAATTCATGGGGTGATTTCCAAATACATGTCTAGTGTATTTTTTGTCAACTCCAAATACATTTCAACAACTAGTGATTTGAAATACCTCCTAACAAAAGAATGGACCTATTTGTAAAATATGAAAAGTTTAGGTATTATAGTGTGAGGCAAAACATATAAAGGTACCAAAATGTAATTTTACCATCAAAATTTCAGGACCTTTTTGTAAAATTCTAAAAGTTTAGGTACTAAATTGCAAGAAAAAATAAATTTGGGTACCAAACTGTAATTTACCAAAATTCGTAGTAAGTGACCAGAAAATTAAAAATTGAAATTGAAAATCATAAAATACAAAATACAAACAAATTACAAATAAGTATCCAAACAACGAATTTGAATTATATGTATTTCAAATGCTAGTATTTCAAATACCTTACATTTAAAATACACTTATCCAAACGCACCCTAATTGATCCATACCGAATTTGTTAATAAGTGCGATTCCAAAATAAATCCATAAAAATGTACTAATAATACTAATTAGCGTAATGATATTCATTTTGAAAATGTTCGTAACATTTTGAGATTCAAAGACTTGCTCATTGTAGGTATACGTACTAAACCATACCATAGTACTATGTCAATCCAATCCGTAACCATGGGTACCCTACCCGACTGTAACCGGTCAACGAGGGTAATTACCCGCTTTGACGGGTTAAGGGGCGGATACGGGTAATACCCGGTTTCAAAATAAAGGGTAGGGTACGGGTATGGTAATTGATAATACCCGCCCCGTTATACCCGCCCCGCTAACCAAAGGGAGTCAATTTCCCTTGAGAAATTTAGTTTAGCTACCATTATTGATGATGAAGATGTAGACGATTATTATGTTTGTGTGAATTGTAGAAGCAAGAACAATTATTATGTTTGTGTGGATTGTAGAAGCAAGAGCAATTATTATGTTTTTGTTGTTTTTATTTGTGTGGATTGTTGAAGCTAGAACAATTAGAAGTATTGAGAATTTTTAATGGACAACAATATGTATGTGCATATATGTGTATAAGTTCATAGTTTAGGATTCATACCCATGGTTACCCGAATACCCGTGGTTACCCGGTGGGTAGGGTATGGTTATATAATTTTCATACCCGGTGGTTATTTGGTCGGGTATTTTAGAAGGCTCTACCCGGCGGGTTAGGAGTTGGTATAGGGTAAACCCGCACCCGACCCTACCCATTGCCATCCCTAAGTAGTACTCCCAAATAGGGGCGTAGCCAGGATTTTGTGAAGGGTGGATCCGTTTAGAAAAAAGGGCTAATACCACTAGGAAACCCGAACTATTAACTTTGTGTCATTTGTGTCCTAAAGTTTTCGATATGACAATTGTGTCCTAAACTATTTCTCCGTTAGAGTTGACCGGCGTTGACAGTTAGTTTTTAACAGAAAACCCAGTAAGCGCTGATGTGGAATCTGACGTGGAATTTATAATATTAATTTACAATTATTTTTCATATAAAAAATAAAATTACAAAAATAAAAAAATAAAAAACAAAAACAGATTTGATTTGATTTGCAGTTGGCAATGCCTTCCTCTTCTCCTTCTTCCTCTTCCTTCTTAAGGATTGAAAAACCCAGGTGAACGGAAAACCCCTTGCAAAACCAAACAAAACAAAAATTACGCCTCACAATCCCTAACTCTGCAGAGGTCATCTCGTCGGGCGACGCAATTTCCGATGGCGATGTTGTATCTGCGGCGTGCATCCGAGCTGCGTCCCTCACCTGCTGCCGACTCATCCCTTCCTCATTCAAGGCCTTCCCCTGCTTCAGAGCTTCCACGACTACTCCCGCCGCGAATTCCATTGGCTTCGCCGACCATCTGCTGTCCAGCGTCGCGATTACGGAGCTGAACTTCTTTCATCGATTTTGTGCCTTCCTGGCCAACATCGATGGATTCCTGATCAGAACCCTCAACGACGACGGAGTCGAGTTAACGCGTTGGGGATCGATTCGTTTTCTTCTCGATTTCATATTTGTCTTCTTCCGACGCCGGCATCTGGTCGCCGCCGTCGTCCCCTGCTTTTTCTTCGAGATCTAGGGATTTCGTCAAACTGGTCCATATCAAAGCGCTCGCCACCGCAAATGCCGCCGCCGCCGAAAGCTGTTTGCCCTCTTCAAGATTGTCCCGATTCACCATCGCTTTCAGCCTGGATATATCTTCCCTGTTAATGACGAAAGTCGTACGAATCTTATCTGAATGTTTATATCGGTAGTGGAGAAGCTGAAGAGCAGAGGGAGCAGGATGCGGTGGTGGGGAGTTTTCCTTTAATTGTTTTTTATTTTAATTTTTATAAATAATATCAATTAATTGAGTTTACATTTTTTAATTTTTATAATAATATATTATTTTTTATTTAATTTTTATTTAAAAATATGAGGTGTCATTGACGTGGCGTCTACGTGGATGCCACGTAATCAAAAGTCAATGTTAATGTTGACTTCCGTTTGGTCAACCGTTATCTATAACGGTCAACGAAATCGTCATGACATAAATGACACACAACTATCATACATTGTGACACAATTGTCATATCGAATACTTTAGTACACAAATGGCACAAAGTTAATAGTTCGGGTTTCCCAATGGTATTAGCCCTAGAAAAAAATACATACGATAAAAATATTTTGTTAGCTTTCTAAATTCATTCATGATTTAATTTTGTATTTAAATTTTTTTGCTAAATTAATAATATATGAATATAAAAAAGATCACTCTATATGTATAAAAAAATATTCATAATTAATTATCGAAAAAAGATATTCATAATTCAGTTAGACATTTACTTTTGAATGATGTTCTTTGTCAATATCGTTTAGTATCAAGAACTCGAGTTGTTGGAAAAGATTAAATTATGGATCTTAAACTATTTAATATTTACTAACACTTCCCCGCTAACGAAAACCAATTTATACATGGTTAAAGTGTTTGCAAATTTGAATATCATGTGCTTAACAAATGGGGTCGTCAAGATTCGAACACATGATCTCTCGATCAACCATTTTCAATTAGAAGTTCCCTATATAAGTGGCTAAATTTCATCTCAATGAAAAATTATACTAATTTACTCTTTCCTTAGGAGTCACCTGTTACATTCTCCCTACCGTTAATTGAAATAAAATTATTTTTACATACTAGATTTGGTGGAAATTTGTTGTAGATATTGAATAAATACATCTTTAACTAATTTGCTGTAGATATTGAAGAGGCAAAGAGAACTTATTGATGGGTAACGGTAGTCATTGCCATGGTAAATGGAAGGTTTTTTCCCCTAGCTGGCTAGCTCTATTAATCGATCGAGTATCGAAGAGGCAAAGAGAACTTATTGATGAAAAGGAAGCTCAAAGATTGGAATGTGTGGGATATTGTAGGGCTGCAGTACAGGTATTTATAAGGAAGGTAAGTAGGTAACACATTTCCACGCTATAGTATTTATAATGTTGCTCAAGTATCTTTTGCTTTGCACGAGTAATCATATCAGATATATGCTTTAATTTATAGATTCAAACTATTCTGTGATACCGGTTCTCATCATTTGTTCTTTGTCCAAATCCACCAACGCGGCGGCCACGCCCGAGACCAAATCCATTTTTCTAATCTCTTTTTTAGATGGTTGTTAATTGCCTATGATTCGAAGACATGGTGTGGTGAAAGTTTTAATTGATCCATACCGCATTCGTTGATAAGCACGATTCGAGAATAAATCCATACAAATGTACTAATACTAATAAGCGTAACGAAACTCATTTTGAAAATGTTCGTAACATTTTGAGATTCAAAGACTTGCTCATTGCAGGTATACATACTAAACCATACCATAGTAGTACTCTCAAATAGGGGCGTAGTCAGGATTTTGTGAAGGGAGGATCTGTTTAGGAAAAATACATACGATAAAAATATTTTGTTAGCTTTCTAAATCATTCATGATTTATTTTGTATTTAAAAAATTTTGGTAAATTAATTATATGAATATAAAAAATATCACTCTATATGTATAAAAAAAGAATATTCATAATTAATTATCAAAAAAATTTATTCATAATTCAGTTAGACATTTGCTTTTGAATGATGTTCTTTGTCAATATCGTTTAGTATCAACAACTCGAGTTATTGAGAAAGATTTAATTATGGATCTTAAACTATTTAATATTTACTAACACTTCCCCGCTAATAGGGATGGCAACAAAACCCAAACCCACGGGTACCCACCCGACCCAACCCGGTCAACGCTGGTAAAATCCGTGTTGACGGGTTTTGGGCCGGGTTTGGGTTTAAACCCGTTCACTATTCACCGAGTTGGGTTTGGGTTTAGGTAAACCCGACCCATGGGTACCCGCCCACACCCATATAGTTAATTTTCTCGGTATATATAATATTCTAAACAACTAATCTTATTTATGTTTGTGGAGACATGTCTAATTTTTTTCTTTCTAATTGTGTAGAATGAAGTTGATGTCATCGAGTGGAGAGTGAAGAAACTTAATTGAAAGGAAGAAGCTTTCAATTAATTATGTTATTTATGGATAATTTGTGATTTGCTTCAATTTTATCGAGTTTTCTAGATTGGTGTTGAACAATTTGTATAGTTAATTTGTGATTTCCTTGATATTTGACTTTAATTTTGATAGGAACTTGTTACTGTAAATTTTTTACGACAAAAACCCGTGGGTACCCATGAACCCACGGATACCCAGCGGGTTGGGTTGGGTTTGAGTTTTTCAAATCCAGTGGGTTTTACCCCGGGTTTTTTTCACGGATAAACCCGACCCATTGCCATCCCTACCCGCTAACGAAAACCAATTTATACATGGTTAAAGTGTTTGCAAATTTGAATGTCATGTGCTTAACAAATGGGGTCGTCAAGATTCGAACACATGATCTCTCGGTCAATCATTTTCAATTAGAAGTTCCCTATATAAATGGCTGAATTTCATTCTCAATGAACAATTATATACTAATTTACTCTTCCTTAGGAGTCACCCGTTACACTCTCCCTACCGCTAATTGAAATAAAATTATTTTTACAAACTAGATTTGGTGAAATTTGCGGTAGATATTGAATAAACACACCTTTAAATATTATATCTAATTTAATATTTTTGTTCCCGAGCCTAGGTGGGTCCCGGGACCCACCCTTTAACACTCTCCCTCCGCCCCTGCTCCCAAAACTATCGTACCACGACATACACGAGTACGCCAATTTGATGTGAAAATCATCTATTTCAAAATATATCAAATTGGATGTTATGGTGTACTAAGAAAATAACTTACCTCAATGGTTTTGTAGCACCGGTCTTATAAACCCATCCTAGCTATTTGGAAAATTACTTGCTAAATTATATGTCTGGTCACCGAGTTATCAATTTCTTTCATGTTTGTCACTAATTTTTTGTACTCAATTAGCGGTTACTAACTATAAACTCTAATTTTATCGTTGATCAATGACCGTCCATTTTTCACTAAATTTGTCCTACATGGTGGTCAACGATGACCTTTGACCGTTAACCAGATGATATAGCAATTAGACAATAAAATCAAAATTTTATTTTAATTAATTATCCAACTCACCTCCTCTTAGCTTCTCCCCTCACCCACCACCAACATTAAAAATGTACAAATTAAAAAAAAATCCAAGCTCTTGCTCTCCAGTAACCTCTCGCCGCTATCGCTCCCTTCCTCTTTGCACTGGCCCAACACCACTCTCGTGTTCCAAACCATATAAGGACTTTTTAAAGTGGCAAACTCTAGTGTCATTTGGTTGACGAAACCCTTTAGTCATCTTCATGTACACATCTTCATCCAAATCACCATGAAGAAATGCGTTATTAACATTGAGTTGGTGCAATGGCCAATTTTGTAAAGCAACAACAACAACCAAACTACGAACAGTGACCATCTTGGCAACAGGAGTAGATGTATCATGATAATCTATCCCTAGTATATGAGTGAAGCCTTTGGAAACTAACAGTGCTTGAGGCGCGCGTTCGACTTCTCCAGAGGGTTTGAATTTGACCTTGTATACCCATTTGGAATCAATTTAACCTTGTATGCTAAGAAATGAGATTGCATGGTTCTTGTGATGATCTTAATTGAATGTATGCTTGGATGGATTGATAAATTTTAGCAAATGCCATACCAAAATTTTCAAAATTCTAGCATAGCATCTTTCTCATTTAGCAAATGCCTACCATAGGAGAGGGCCACTCTATGATGCTATCCTTGGAGCTTATTGGGATCCTATGGTATAGATGGCTATCTTTTAGGAGTTGTGAAAGACAATCACGACAGACCAAGGAGCCAAGTTTTCTGCTGGCTACTCTTCCCCTATCCTCATTCAGCTACGATTCATCATATATTCACATGAGGCAAAAGGAAGATGCTGGGAAGGTGACCACCAATGACATGATCTTGTATCATACTTTACTAAACAACTAGTGGCTTTACCCAACCTGGTTGGTGGTTCACAACTTGTTGAGCTATACATCTGTCACTTCTCCACAATGTCTTCCAAGAGGGGGGCTATGTTCTTACTATAACCCAGCACATTGACCAGCGTAAGGAGGAGCACATATTTTCTTTGTGGGACACCTTGGCGTGGGAATGACTAACTATCATCAGCCAACTTTCACCTTAGATTTGGAGTTGATAGGGTGAAAAGTAATGGAGTAGAGCTTGCCAACAATGTTTGCGCATGATACTCTGCATGGACAGCGACATGGAGAGCAGCAGTGCACTTAGTGAGATTACATGAGCATGGATATGGAGCTGGCCACACAATACCATGGTACCACCACCACCTCAGGTTAACGACTATGTAGTACTCTATCTAGCAGAGTTGCGAACATCTATGGAAAGGCAGGAGGAGAAGTTGAATACCTACCAGAATCTGAACGAGCAATAGTGGGATGACCTTGATCACGAGAGACAGATGGGGCTTGAGGAGACTCGAGCTTGATGCAAGAGATAGGAGGCAGAGCGTCAATGGAGCCATTCGTGGATGAAGGAATTTAGAAGATCTTTCTGGAACCTCTTTCCAGGCAGTGGACCGCCAACATTAGGACCCAGCATATGGGAGATCAAGAAGTTGAGAGAGCATTTATTTTGTTTGACTATTTCGAGTCTCCTCAAAAAGTCATGGAGAATTAGCAACACTCAATGATGAGCTTGGATTCTGAACAACAATCAAGGTAACTCATTCCAAGCTTACCACGACTCACTATCTTTTAGTCCTTTGAGGACAATGTCCATTATAAAGCTTTGCCTTGATAATTGATACACTTGCTACTTGTTATATGATTAGTTGTTCACAATTTGAAAAATTTTCAATGTTCATTTTAATATTAAAATGATTATGATATGTGCTTAAAAGAAAAGGTTTGGTCGAAGCAAGGGAAAGAGGGGAGAGAGAATTAGGGTTTCTGTTAATTCTGTTATGTGTTTTCTTAATGAGAAAATCTCCATAATAACACAATATAAAGATCAACAAGTTCCCTCTAACTACACATACTTCAAACTTTTTAACAAAATCAAATAGCACCCTAAAACTCCTACAAATACCAAATGCATCCATAAATCCAAAACATAAGTTGTACCATGACTTTTTTCTTTTCATAACAACCAGTATATATTCATTCAAAGTACACTAGTTCCAATAAGAAGTGATCGATACACAACATAAATATCTAACCGACACCCCGAAGGACAAGGGATTGTGACTTATTGAAGGGGAAAAGAACAACACGAAACACAAATACACGTGAATATTGAAACGAAACACCCATTATTGTTCATCCCATTTATATCAAAGCCATGATATTTCCTTATAATAATTGGCTTATGCACAAATGTCGGGATTGGCTGAGAGATACTCAAACAACTTCTTGTTGACACGCAATACCCGTTCTGCTCCACTGTGGATTCCCTCGGCTTTCTCTACGTACTGATTGGTCAACTTACAGATACAACCTTTTGCTCCGTCTTTCTCAAACTTCAACTCACTCACCACTACTTGATCATCTGAATCTGTCATTGTGTACTTCGCGGTTAAGTTCGATGGGTCCACAACATCCACCTTAGTCTCTAAGGTCATCAATTCAGTCGTCACTGTAACCACGCAACCCATCAAGATTAATACAATGAACATTAATACTTGTTGAAGCCATTAAATAGCATTCACCTACATATCCAATCTTACTCGATTTGACTTTCAACGTATAAACGAATTAGCGAAAGAGGAAACGTTTACCACTATCAATGAAGGCGATTTCGAATATCGTTCCGGGGCCTCCGTCGCCTTGGATGGTCTCGATAGTCTTGACCATTTGAGGAAAGACGGTTGTGTAGGTGGTGTTGGCTTCCAGGATCACAGCATTGAACATTCTTTCGGCTGAGATATTGGAAGATTTGATCTCATGGGCAGTGGTAGTCATTGCCATGGTAAATGAGAGGATATTTTCACTAGGTTATTAATGAAAGGAAGCTCAAAGCTTGGAATGTGTGGGATGTGGTAGCGCAGCGGTGGTATTTATAGGGAAAGATAACATGCGACTCGATCGATCGGAAGTTGCCTTCATGTTTTCTGGATACATTTGTTTTTTTTTTTGATAAGGGTGAAATAATATTAATAACGAAAAAGACTGAAGATTAAGAGTTTGAAAACACAACCAGAACCAGCAACCAGCAAACTACGAAATAAACTCAGCACAAACTACTGCAGATAGCTACCCTCCAAGTGCACCAATAAAAGAAAATGCGCCAACGAAACGTATCTGAAAAAAGAAAGAGCTCTCAAACTTCTGAACCTTGAAACTCCCAAAGTCCTTTCAGCGACCAACCTCACCACAAAGCCCTGTCACAAACAGAAGTCAACACAAACACGGGAGCAGAAGCTTAGCAAGGCACATCGGCATCCTCACGGTCTCCAATTTCAGCTCCAACCGGAGGCAAAGCGGGAGGTTCAACATTCCTGGGAAACAGGCGAAACTTAATATTTTGCAGCCAACAGCTCGCTTCCTCCCTACCAACCTTCTGAGCAGCACCCAACCATTCGGCAATACTGTAAGCAATCCGGAAAACAACAACTTGACCTAAGACGAACTCTTCCTTGAAAATTCTGGAATTCCGCTCTAACCAGATACGCCAACAAAAAGCATGAAGAGAAACCATCGTGCACCACTCCTTGGAATTGGACGGCTGTCGGCTAGGCCACCTTCTTATCATCTCTGTGATGTCATTACTAGTGGTCTTGAGCTCGACGAAGGCTGACAGAATCCGCCAAACCTCCTTGGAGAACCTGCAAAGAAGGAAAAGATGATCGATTGTTTCCTCCTGATCACCACACAACACGCATCGACTCGGGAGAGCCCAACACGCATCGACTCTGGATACATTTGTAAATAGGCTTAATATGCAAAACGTCTTACATTAGTCCATATATTATTATATATTTTCAAATCTGCTCAAGCATCTTGTGCTTTGCACGAGAGGGATCATATCAGATATGCTAATTAGTACGTTGTTATAGCCTTTTAAAATCAGTGGTTATATGACTCAATTTCTCATCAAAAGCAAGTTTGGTTTAACATCGAGGGGTTTAGTAGGTTACAGGGTAAATGCCATGATTGATCACTGAGATTACGTACTAAATAATATCAAGTTTGGTCATTAAAAATACTTTATTTCATTTGTGGTCACTAAAATTACTAAAAGATATCAAATTTGGTCACTCTCCCGTCGTCAATTTCTTGATGGCGACGGCGAGACCCGTCCCGGGGGTACAAGCACAAGGTGATAGACTTCTCCCGTCGACCCATCCTCTGTAGATCTCTTCTCCGCCGAGCAGGCTGTCAGGTTTGAAGTTCCCTGTCGTCGAACCTTCCACCTGGGGGACTCCAGAATCCGCCCGCTGTCCACCGGTGGCGAAAGGGGTCCGTTCCCGGAGTCGATTCCATCGCGAAAGGGGCCGTCCACCGACTATCAATGTCTCTCCTCGTCGTAGACTAGTTACCCTGTATTAGGTAAGAATTGAGGTAAGCAATAAAAGAATTTTTATTTTATTTTTATTTTTTTATGATGAAAATGATGAGTTGGAAATTTAGAAATTTATTATTTTTTAATTTTTTAATTGTCACGTCATATATTTAACGGTCAACTTAAAGAGTTGACTGCCACATAAGTAAAAGTTAATGGAGTTGGACGGATAGTGACCAAACTTGACATTTTTTTGTAATTTTAGTGATCACTAATAGAATAAAGTATTTTTAGTGACCAAGCTTGACATTTTTTTAGTAATCTAGTGACCAATCATGGCATTTACCCAATTTTATATCCTTACAAACAATCCTTAGTAGCAGTGGCGGAGCCACTCAAGGCCAAGGTGGGTCATTTGCGCCACCTTGGCCCTAAAAACATGTAAAGTAAATTAGTCTATATGATTGTAGATTGAATACAAAATCTTCATATTATCGTAGATAATTTTACGAAAAAGTAATGTTTTGTGATCTATATTTTACTTTTAATTCATATTTTGTGTAAAGTGAGTTTAATATATACAAAAGCTCGAAGTAGTTGTTGCTATAAGTTGTTATTGCAAGTGTTGAAAGAGCACTTAGTGCAATCAACAAAGTGAAGAAACACTTCAGAATGAGATGATTTCAGGAATCATGAACGATTTTTCGTTGTGGTATCTTAACATTCTCATAATTTGCATAATGAATGTATTTTAATTTTCAGAACATGAACATATCCTTGAACTTACGTTTTTTTTTTCCACGCTTGACCTACCTTAGATAAATTTATGGCTACGCCACTGCTTAGTAGGCTTGTGAATTGTGTTAAAATTTAAAAATAATGATTGAAAATCGTACTAGAAGTTGTACCCAAAAAGTCAACAATAGGGTATTTTAATTTATGCTAATATCGTGATTTAATCATAATTCAATTGTTTCATACCGCTAAATACCGCCTACCGATTTTACCTTGAGTGAGAAGTGAGAAGTTAATATGATCGAACTACGATTTTTCAATCTTTCAATATAACAATGAAGCCAAAAGCAATAAAATAAGTTTGAAGAATAACTGAACTATAGCCAGGAAATAAATTTTCAAAGAGCATGATAATCAGATGTATGGCTTTTCCCCATCAGGTGTTAATCACTGTCATCATTTCCACACCGACCCATTTTGAATTGTTGGTGATGTGCCGGCTACTACTCTATGCATGCCCAAATTAGTTTCGTGAGTGAGTGTCCACTTCTTTACTTTGCAGGATTTACCTTGGCATTTTATGATGCTATGAAGTTAATGATCTAGTGAATCTAGATATTTAGGGATGGCAAAATAACTATACTCGAGGATACCCGTCTGAATTCAACCTAATCGAATGGGTAAAATAGATATTTCAAATGGGTATGGGTAAAACATGAACCCGAATATTGTCGGTGATGGATGAGCATAGTTTTCTCACTATCTAACCCAAATATACTCGATTGTACACGTGCATTTTGTTTAAAATGGATCATTATTTTTCTCGAACTTATTTTATATTTATCATACATATATAATATTTTCATGAATTATATTATTTTGAACTAATTTTTTTCATTTTTGTAATTCATTGTTTTAATTTTTCGCTAATATAATGTCAGTATATGTGAAATGTTTAACATGTTGGTGAAAGCTATAAGAGAAACTATTATCCATAGTTAACCGTGGATACTCAAAACCCGATCAAGGATGGGTATGGTTTTGATATTCTACTCAATTCTTGTATGAGTCTGAATACAGGTAAAATCTTAACTATTTTGGGTAGGATAATAGATATGCACTATCCGACCTCGACCAAACCCGTTGCTATACTATAGATAATTTCCTGACAATTATCAGAACTTATGGCAAGTGATGAACTTACTAGAAAAAAATTTCCGATTAATTCAATGCCCAATAGAGATACCAAACTCACGTAAACAAAATTCTCTTATTGAAATTCCCCAATGATCTCAATCGTACAGCTCATGGTTGTCATGTCTGCAATTGGGTTGAATCGGTGCCGATCATAAAACCAGCTTGAATGTTCTGGTATGACCGACAAATCAATTTCCGGCCTCTAAGCAAAATGATGGTGGATTTATTTAATAATTTTATCTTTTTTTAATTTGAAATTTAAATGTTGATGTTATTTGTTGGATTCAAGTATAAATATTTAGTTTGTAAAAAAAGTATGAATACTTAGACGTTTATGTTATTTGTTGAATTCAAATATAAACTATAAAGGTTTGGATATTGGGATTCAAGGTTTTGATGATTTCCATTTTGTTTGAAATATAGTATTTTTTTATTCATGTATGGATGTAGATTTTATAAAAATTGTCTAAATTCTTTTAGAATTAATAATTTCTTACTTGCCTAAATATTTTGCTAAAACCAACATGAACTTACATATAAACTTATCATACCACTAGTCGAACAATCTCAATTGTCAAACCATCCTAACGGTATAAACCGATTTCACAACATCCATGCAACTACAAGATCACCATTCTTCCAAGGCCCTTTAATCATTAAGGAAACGATACGCTAGCGTTGTTCAAACCAATAATATGTTACACCTTGCCGCATCACCGAATTTTACGGCTCATTGTTGAGTTGAGCAAGCCGAAGGAAGGAATTGGCCGTTACGCACATTTACGTCGGCATGACTCTCCACCCAAAAAATATCGAACCAACCCAAATTCACCCACTTACCAGTACTTCAACAATCTACTCGTATTTCCAATTACATTGAACAAAAGTCAAACATTTTGCTTCCATCAAACCCGATTCAAATCCCCATAATTTTTAAAGAGTCAAATCCTCCAAATCCGTGTAACTAGTTTCCTTGAGGAAAACTAGTGAATTCAAATTTGAAATCTTAATCAAATAAGTCCCATCTTATGCACCAATATCATTATTACATGTTCAATACACGACAACGAGTGCTACCTTATGCATTTAATATCATAACTATAACATCAATAGACGCGACAAATATCAAGGTCGAACCATATCAAACTAAACACACTTTTAACCCAACTCTACCGCTCAACCAAATTCGATTAAACAAGAGACCAAACCATTCGGCGGGACGAATCAAAATAAGCTCCGGTTTGGTTCAAACCATGAATCCAATCTCTTTCTCTGTCCAAAATTAGGGGTTAACAAAATCTAATTATCTCAGCCTACGAAAATTGGGGAGACAAAAATTTCAGAAAATGAAATACGTTCCATTTTTCATTATACGTACAGATTTCAAGTTTTCAACGACGAAAAAAAAAATTACTAATCTAGTGGCTGGCTGGCTGACTATTCTGGAATAGTGACCAGTACAGGCCGCCAAGCTCTCCTCAGTAACCTACACCGAAACGACGCCGCACCCTGTCTGAGCCCTCTCCGACGACCGGAGAAACCGCGACCAAAGCCACTATTAGTATAATTACCATTGCTCCCAACACCGCGATCGCTAGCGCCGTCGTCAATTTCACCGGGGCCGGCAGTCAGCATCCGGACGCCGTCGCGACCCCGATTCTTGGTCCTGTCATCATCAAACGGAGGTGAAGAAGAGACGAACAGATCCTTCAATCTCCTTCTGGCCCTCTTACAATCGGACGGCAGATCCCGCCGCTGCTTCTGGCCCTCGTCGAACATCGCCATAGCTCGAGGACGGTGGTGGTCGGCGGCGGGGGAGCCGCGAGAGAGGAGCATGCGGAGGGTCTTGCGGCGGCGGAGGTGGACGACCGGGCTGGTGGTTGGGCTCTGCGTCGGGTTCCCCGTCGACGCCGCTCCACACTGCGCGGCGAAATGCTTGAATTTCTGCAGCGTCGCCATTGTGAGTCCAGGCGAAAGGGGGGAGAAGAGGAGGGGATCGAGCTATTTGAATCAGGGAGGAAAGATCTGATCACCGGAGGGGGAATTCAGGAATCGGATTGCTTTGAGCTGCTGCTGCGGCGGCGGCGGCGGCGGATGGAAAGGTGGAGCGAAATTGGGCGGATTCAATTAGCGTGTAATGGAGATGGATAGAAAGCGATTGGAATTCAGGGGATGAAGATGAATTTGGAATTAGGGATTAGGGGGAGGAGGAGGAGAGGGGTATTTGGGTATTTACGCCCCCAAGGCCGGGAGAAGGCCTTTCAGCTCTGCACGTGGCAGGCTGTGGCAGTCGCAGAACGGTTGCTCTGATGGGATGCCTTTGGTATCGTATGAGTCCCAACACAAAGAAAAGGTTTTTCCCAATTCCAAAACACCATTTTAGAAAACGACATTTTGTTTTCCTTGATCAAAAGAAAATGACATTTTGTTGTTTCCTAATGTTTTTTTTCTCTCAATACTAGGAAAGTAGTGTGTGTTGTATGTTATCATCAAGTGGTATTTATAGAGGTTACATAATTAAAAAGGATGGTTGTTTAACGAATACACGAGTTAGATTAAGATAAATTTTTTATATGCCTTTGCAAGATGGAGGTAGCGTTAACGAGTTCAAAGTTGGATTAGAATAGGGGGATATCGAGTAGCGGAGTGAGCGGAGAGGAGCTTAGTAAACATATCCACAAGTTGTGAGACAATAAGAACATGGCAAACAAAAAGATGTTTAATTATCAGCATGAAACAAGCGGATCACAAACAAAATGATAGTCTAAATGCGATATGTCATGTAAGAATGAAAAGATGGGTTGGAATTGAAGTTGCACCACAGCTAAATCAACCAAATAGAGAGTCACTGCAGCAGATAACGGACAATGAAATTGAGAGAGAATATAATCTGCACCTACAAATTCACTTCTGAATCTCTTTCAATCTTTTTTCACAATTAAGCTCAATCCCCTAGTTATGCCCAATTATGCTCTAATCCTATCTATATGCTCTAAGGTTGTCAAGATATGATCTTCATTAGGGATGGCAATTTACCCACCCATGGGTAATTTTGCCCAAACCCAAGTAGACCCATTTATTATGGGTAGGGTTTGGGTGATGTGTGTATGGGTTTGGGTTAGATATGGATATTATCTAAATGGGTATGGGTTGGATATGGATATCCATTTACTTGAGAGTGTTTTAACTACACATGCAAAAATTGGACTTATTTGTAAAACCTGAAAATTTTAGGTACCAAAATGTAAGACCAAAAAATTTTAGGTACCAAAACGTAATTTTCCATCGATATTTTGAGGACTTATATGCAAAAAAAATTAAATTTAGGTACTAAATATGCATATCTATTAAGTTTAGGTACCAAACTGTAATTTGTATTTGGGCATGGGTACAAACCCAAATCCAACCCAAAGTAAATGGGTATGGGTACAAACCCATCAAACTTTACCCATATCCATATATTTGGGTTTCATACCCAACCCAATTGGGTTGGATAGTAAAATACCCATGGGTATGGGCATAATTGCCATCCCTAATCTTCATCACTCTAGTTTTCTCCACATTCTGGAATCTGAGAAGAAGTGAGTCATTGGCTTAAGGTCAATGATGCTGGTTTACCAACTTGTTTGATTCTGCTGGGTTATCAATAATTCAAAATGAATTATTCAATTGATGACGACATGCACTCATCACAATAGAACTATATTAATTTTCTTCAACTTGCTTATCTTGTTGGTGCATTATTATTATTATACTTACAGATGTCTATCCCACATTGAACCATTCTTTTCCTTGGAAATTAAGAACAGAAAAACAAAAATAAGGAATCGGGGAAAAGGAGGGGCTGTGGTTGGATGGATGTGTGCCAAATGCTAACACAAAAGGGAAGGAGGAGCCCAAAGATAAACAGACAAGTTACAATTTGTGGCAGGCAGATTAAGTAAAAGAAGAAAACAATAATGCTCATTTTTGTTGGATCATAATATTTGTCAACTATCTCCTAAAGCTCATTATTATTTTTATTGCGCAACAAGACTGGATAAAAAATGAGCCTTCATTGTAAACTAAATGAAGATTAAGTCCACTGGATGGCCTCATCAAGCTAATTAACATAATATAAATGGATGGATGTGTGTGTATTTTGTCAAGGCATCGATTCCTTGATCTGCACGTACAGAAGTTGCCGCTTTTAAAAATGGACACCCATAACATTACACGATCCAACACCAGCCTGCAGGCTGCAGCAGCAGCAGCTTCTGCCCAACAGGAAAGCAAATACGTGGCTTATATTGTACGGGGTAAATTAAATTTGAGAGTAACACATATGTTGAATAAGAAAAAGTTATTTCCACGTCGAATTAATCAGATTTTGAGACATATGATAATATATCCTAGTTCTTAATAAGTAAACACTAGGTCCTAATCATCAAAATCATAAATCCTAAACTCTAAGGAACGGTGCAGGTTTTTTGACGAATTATAACCGTCGATTACTATTGTTAATTAAGTTGGTCTTAGTGTATAAAATTTAGAGAATTAATACTTAACTTCTATCTATCTATATATCTATCTATATCTATCTATATCTATACTATATATTATGACAATTCAAAAGTAACTTCTTGCCACATAAGCACTTGGAGAATTCACAAGTTGCCATGGTGGAAAACCTTTTTTGCAAACAAAAAATTCATTATTGATCTATTTATGGAGCGCTATCTCTCTCTTCTTTTAATATTTCTACTCATTTTTACTAAAAATTAATAACAAATTACATTTTTATGAGAATGTAAACTAACACACAAAAGTATAATATTTAGTCAATTAAAAAAAATATAAAAATGGAAATAGAGAGTGACTATATCCAATTTGTTTAAATAAAAAGTATATGATTAAATATTATTAAGTAAATTTTCTACTCATTTTCACCAAAACTTAATAATAAGTTACATTTTGAAAAATATTTTAAAAAATAGACATATATAATAATATCTATCTATATCTATCTATCTATCTATATCTATCTATCTATCTATCTATATCTATCTATCTATCTATACTATATATTATGACAATTCAAAAGTAACTTCTTGCCACATAAGCACTTGGAGAATTCACAAGTTGCCATGGTGGAAAACTTTTTTTGCAAACAAAAAATTAATTATTGATCTATTTATGGAGCGGTATCTCTCTCTTCTTTTAATATTTCTACTCATTTTTACTAAAAATTAATAACAAATTACATTTTTATGAGAATGTAAACTAACACACAAAAGTATAATATTTAGTCAATTAAAAAAAATATAAAGATGGAAATAGAGAGTGACTATATCCAATTTGTTTAAATAAAAAGTATATGATTAAATATTATTAAGTAATTTTTCTACTCATTTTCACCAAAACTTAATAATAAGTTACATTTTGAAAAATATTTTAAAAAATAGACATATATAATAATATCTATCTAGACTATATATTATGACAATTCAAAAGTAATTTCTTGCCCCATAAGCACTTGGAGAATTCACAAGTTGCCATGGTGGAAAACTTTTTTTGCAAACAAAAAATTAATTATTGATCTATTTATGGAGCGCTATCTCTCTCTTCTTTTAATATTTCTACTCATTTTTACTAAAAATTAATAATAAATTACATTTTAATGAGAATGTAAACTAACACACGAACGTATAATATTTAGTCAATTAAAAAAATATAAAGATGGAAATAGAGAGTGACTATATCCAATTTGTTTAAATAAAAAGTATATGATTAAATATTATTAAGTAAATTTTCTACTCATTTTCACCAAAACTTAATAATAAGTTACATTTTGAAAAAAAAAAAAAATACATATATGTAATAATATTTGTATCAATTAAACAAAATATTACAATAGAAATATTGAAAAAATGATTAAAAAAGTACAGATATATAATAATATTTGTATCAATTAAACAAAATATTACAATAGAAACATTGGTAACAAATGATTAAAAAAAATACACACATATATAATAATATTTTTATCAATTGACTTTGAAAATGAAATATATGAATTTAGATTTTTTGTATTAACAACTGTCTTATTTCTAATGTATTTTTTTCGTCGAATTATTTCTAATATATATTTCTACTAAATAAAACAAGTTTTATATAGCAAAAGGTCTGAATATAAATTTGACTAAGCAATAATAGTTATTTCTTTAAAAAACTTCTTATTCATCATGAGTAAGTGAAAATATATATTCGTGTTCTACCTTCAGATTCTCAAATTAAGAGGAATCATTTGTGCAATACTTTATAATTTGTCATAGGGTTCATATTAAAATATTCACTATAGATCATATTATTTGAACAATCTCTACATTTTATAAAAAAATTCCAAGAAATCATAAATAATCATTACTTAATATTGTAGGAATCTAAAACTAATTTAGTGCCACATTCGTACATGGCTAGCTCTCACCCTTCCACGCTGGACAAAGTCTAATTGGTTTGCTTTTTTGTTTACTCTTTAAATTGTCATCATTATCAACAAAAAGTAAATTAAGTTAATAAAAATGAATGCAACATTTTGGTTTGGTCCTATTCCTTTTCCCATACGACATTGAAAATAAACACAACCCCGATAATAAATAAACTAGATCAAGCCCTACAAAAACAAATAAATCTCTTTTCTTATTTGCTTAAATTTTGAGTTTCTAGAATTTGTCTTCTCTACTTTTTTGTATATAGATATAGGAAAGGAAATGGTAACGCATACTGAGTTCCCCCCCCCCCTCTTTGTAGGAGAATAGGAGGCGGGAGTTACATGATGCAATGATTTGTTGGGAGAGAATTGAACAGCTCTAACATATTTTTGCCTATTGATGAAGAAAAGTCCAACTTATCATTTCTCCCTCTTCCCTTTTGATCCGCAGAGGGCAATTGATCTTTCTTCCTCAGAGATATCTGACTGCTAGCGGTTGACTGGCCGAGTTATAGTCTTCTACCCAT